GAGAGGGAGGGGATGTGGCCGTTGGCCCCGGAGAAACACTGGTTGTTGTCTGACATGTTGTGTTGCCGGGCAAAACAGATCTCTGTTGCTGAGGGGGGGGGGGGGGGTGAAAGCATCAGAGTAACACTTTATGCTAAGGTTAAGGTACAGGAACACTTTACGTTAAGGTTAAGGTACAGGAACACTTTATGCTAAGGTACCCTTAGAGGGGATGTAAAAGGTTAAAAGTAGTTTATAAACAGTAAATCATTAATTGATAAGTCGTTTATAAATAATGAACAGTTATAACCCATCATTTGAGGTTGTAACATTATGTACAGCGCAGCCTAGTGGCCAGTCTGGTCTGGTCACTGACCTGTGCTGAGGGTCTCTGTGGCTTCAGAGGCGCTGGACACAGCATCAGGGGACCTCTTCTCTGAGGGGCTGGCTGGGCTGGGGACCCCCAGACCTCCCCTTACCCCTACCCCTGGCTCCAGGGGGGCAGGCTCGACGGTGGCAGAGGCCTGAGGATTCCTCAGAGAGGAGAGGATAGAGGGCTGATCCACCACAATGGACTTCTGGTCCTGGGGAGAGAGAGGAGAGGGAAGGATGGTTAGTAACGTTGGCATGCTGTGATTATCATATTCTGCTCTTCAACTTAACAGTTAGGCCTACATTTGGGGTGCTTCCCAAATGACACCCTATTCCCTATGTAGTGCACTTGGCACCCTATTCCCTATGTAGTGCACTTGGCACCCTATTCCCTATGTAGTGCACTTGGCACCCTATTCCCTATGTAGTGCACTTGGCACCCTATTCCCTATGTAGTGCACTTGGGCACCCTATTCCCTATGTAGTGCACTTGGCACCCTATTCCCTATGTAGTGCACTTGGCACCCTATTCCCTATGTAGTGCACTTGGCACCCTATTCCCTATGTAGTGCACTTGGCACCCTATTCCCTATGTAGTGCACTTGGCACCCTATTCCCTATGTAGTTGCACTTGGCACCCTATTCCCTATGTAGTGCACTTGGCACCCTATTCCCTATGTAGTGCACTTGGCACCCTATTCCCTATGTAGTGCACTTGGCACCCTATTCCCTATGTAGTGCACTTGGCAACCTATTCCCTATGTAGTGCACTTGGCAACCTATTCCCTATGTAGTGCACTTGGCACCCTATTCCCTATGTATGCACTTGGCAACCTATTCCCTATGTAGTGCACTTGGCAACCTATTCCCTATGTAGTGCACTTGGCACCCTATTCCCTATGTAGTGCACTTGGCACCCTATTCCCTATGTAGTGCACTTGGCACCCTATTCCCTATGTAGTGCACTTGGCACCCTATTCCCTATGTAGTGCACTACTTTTGACCATATGGGCTCTGGTGCCATTAAGGACGTACACTTGGACTTCCACTCACATATTTGACGTAGTCTTTCCACAGCGTCCACCACTGGCTGGAGATGAGGAACCAGTTATCACCAGGCTTGAGCCCGTGTCTGCCCTCTCTCTCCAGCCACCCCCTGAACACACACACACACAGAGTAGAGTTCAGAGCTTTAAACTGTAGAGGTGTAAAACACATGTAAGAGTTCTTCAGGAGATGTGTATACCTGATGATTTGTCCCTCCTCTTCAGGACCGGCAGGTCGAAGACCCAGGACAATGTGGCAGACCTGCAGAAACACATGGAGGGCGCATGAAGAGAAAGTCAACTACAAAAATCCAGAAAATCACATTGTATGATTTTTAAGTAATTCATTTGCATTTTATTGCATGACATAAGTATTTGATCACCTACCAACCAGTAAGAATTCCGGCTCTCACAGACCTGTTAGTTTTTCTTTAAGAAGCCCTCCTGTTCTCCACTCATTACCTGTATTAACTGCACCTGTTTGAACTCATTACCTGTATAAAAGACACCTGTCCACACACTCAAACAGACTCCAACCTCTCCACAATGGCCAAGACCAGAGAGCTGTGTAAGGACATCAGGGATAAAATTGTAGACCTGCACAAGGCTGGGATGGGCTACAGGACAATAGGCAAGCAGCTTGGTGAGAAGGCAACAACTGTTGGTGCAATTAATAGAAAATGGAAGAAGTTCAAGATGACGGTCAATCACCCTCGGTCTGGGGCTCCATGCAAGATCTCACCTCGTGGGGCATCAATGATCATGAGGAAGGTGAGGGATCAGCCCAGAACTACACGACAGGACCTGGTCAATGACCTGAAGAGAGCTGGGACCACAGTCTCAAAGAAAACCATTAGTAACACACTACGCCGTCATGGATTAAAATCCTGCAGCGCACGCAAGGTCCCCCTGCTCAAGCCAGCGCATGTCCAGGCCCGTCTGAAGTTTGCCAATGACCATCTGGATGATCCAGAGGAGGAATGGGAGAAGGTCATGTGGTCTGATGAGACAAAAATAGAGCTTTTTGGTCTAAACTCCACTCGCCGTGTTTGGAGGAAGAAGAAGGATGAGTACAACCCCAAGAACCCCATCCCAACCGTGAAGCATGGAGGTGGAAACATCATTCTTTGGGGATGCTTTTCTGCAAAGGGGACAGGACGACTGCACCGTATTGAGGGGAGGATGGATGGGGCCATGTATCGCGAGATCTTGGCCAACAACCTCCTTCCCTCAGTAAGAGCATTGAAGATGGGTCGTGGCTGGGTCTTCCAGCATGACAACGACCCGAAACACACAGCCAGGGCAACTAAGGAGTGGCTCCGTAAGAAGCATCTCAAGGTCCTGGAGTGACCTAGCCAGTCTCCAGACCTGAACCAAATAGAACATCTTTGGAGGGAGCTGAAAGTCCGTATTGCCCAGCGACAGCCCCGAAACCTGAAGGATCTGGAGAAGGTCTGTATGGAGGAGTGGGCCAAAATCCCTGCTGCAGTGTGTGCAAACCTGGTCAAGACCTACAGGAAACGTATGATCTCTGTAATTGCAAACAAAGGTTTCTGTACCAAATATTAAGTTCTGCTTTTCTGATGTATCAAATACTTATGTCATGCAATAAAATGCAAATTAATTACTTAAAAATCATACAATGTGATTTTCTGGATTTTTGTTTTAGATTCCGTCTCTCACAGTTGAAGTGTACCTATGATAAAAATTACAGACCTCTACATGCTTTGTAAGTAGGAAAACCTGAAAAATCGGCAGTGTATCAAATACTTGTTCTCCCCACTGTACAAACACAGAAACACACACCTGGAACAAACCACTAAATGAGTGTGTGTCTATGTGTGTGTGTGTGTGTGTGTGTGTGTGTGTGTGTGTGTTCTGACCTGGAACAGCAGGTTGAGGAACTCATTGGCCAGAGCGCTCTTCACACTCCAGATCTGGTAGTCCTCCAGGGTCAGGTGACCCAGCTGTGTGTGGGGGGGTCAAAGGTTAGGGTCAAAGACAACAAGGGTTAAATGTCAGTGGACAGCAGAAGCATTATGAGATAATTATAGTCCTAAACCCAACCACGTTACAGACGTAAACACCTGATATATCTCCTAGAAGAGTCTGACCTTGGTCGTGTCGTGCATCTTCAGGATTCCTTCCACTATGTCCGACACGTTGGTGAGCAACTCCTGAAAACAGGACAAGAGTCAAAACTTAGCTAGCTTACTTACCAAATCCAACCACCTCCATTACACTAGCCATTTAGCCTGCATTACTTACAGGGAGTGTCTGTGTTTAGCAGTACTTACAGGGAGTTCTGTGTTTAACAGTACTTATAGGGAATTCTGTGTTTAGCAGTACTTACAGGGAGTGTCTGTGTTTAGCAGTACTTATAGTGTCCACTAGACTTCGGCAGTATACCATTGGATGGTTTTTCAATACCGTCAAAACTATTTCTTTGACGTTTTTCAATAAAATGTGAATATTTGTAGCTACTTTTTAAGTTAATACCTGCAGTCAGCTTGCGCAATACGTTAGGAGATAAAGCGGATTGTGTTCTTCATTTCACCTGTCACATTGTTTTACATTATGAATCTTACCGTAGTTCCCCACAACAGTTGAGCCAGTCACGTGTTTGTTTGTAAACAGCACAACAGGAGAAAGCGAGCTGGTGAGTCCATAGCGTTCTATATCTATCAGTGAGTCTCTGCTGGTGAGTCCATAGCGTTCTATATCTATCAGTGAGTCTCTGCTGGTGAGTCCATAGCGTTCTATATCTATCAGTGAGTCTGCTGGTGAGGGAAAAAAGTATTTGATCCCCTGCTGATTTTGTACGTTTGCCCACTGACAAAGAAATGATCATTCTATAATTTTAATGGTAGGTTTATTTGAACAGTGAGAGACAGAATAACAACAAGAAAATCCAGAAAAACGCATTTCAGAAATGTTATAAATTGATTTGCATTTTAATGAGGGAAATAAGTATTTGACCCCATCTCAATCAGAAGGATTTCTGGCTCCCAGGTGTCTTTTATACAGGTAACGAGCTGAGATTAGGAGAAAACTCATAAAGGGAGTGCTCCTAATCTCAGCTTGTTACCTGTATAAAAGACACCGGTCCACAGAAGCAATCAATCAATCAGATTCCAAACTCTCCACCATGGCCAAGACCAAAGAGCTCTCCAAGGATGTCAGGGACAAGATTGTAGACCTACACAAGGCTGGAATGGGCTACAAGACCATCGCCAAGCAGCTTGGTGAGAAGGTGACAACAGTTGGTGCGATTATTCGCAAATGGAAGAAACACAAAAGAACTGTCAATCTCCCTCGGCCTGGGGCTCCATGCAAGATCTCACCTCGTGGAGTTGCAATTATCATGAGAACAGTGAGGAATCAGCCCAGAACTACATGGGAGGATCTTGTCAATGATCTCAAGGCAGCTGGGACCATAGTCAACAAGAAAACAATTGGTAACACACTACGCCGTGAAGGACTGAAATCCTGCAGCGCCCGCAAGGTCCCCCTGCTCTGTGTACACATGCTGCTCTTCCCCCTCTGTTCTCCTCCCCTCTGCGTACACATGCTGCTCTTCCTTCAGAAAAGCATGCATCACAACTTTGTTCATTTGCACAATTTCTCTCATTCACTTTCACTTGTAAATGTCCACACAACGAGAATAACATTGGGTAGCTACTAGCTATGCTTGTATAACTTTATGAGCTGGATGTGCCTGTCTTTGCAATTAGTATGTTTGTTTTCGCTCGTTAGCATTTAGCTAACAGCGTCTATGTGATTTCACTATTAGTTTGTGCTAATTTTGTTAGTATTCTGGTAAGAGGCACAATGGGATTTTCTTGAATTTGTAGCACCCCCTTGTGGGCTACGCCGGTAATACCTTAAATCCCGGGATGAGAGAAGGCCGGTATGACGATACGTAAATCTGGATACCGCCCAAACCAAGTGTCCACCAGTACTAACGGGGGGTGTGTCTGACTAACAGTACTTACGGGGGGTGTGTCTGACTAACAGTACTTACGGGGGGTGTGTCTGACTAACAGTACTTACGGGGGGGTGTGTGTCTGACTAACAGTACTTACGGGGGGTGTGTCTGACTAACAGTACTTACGGGGGGTGTGTCTGACTAACAGTACTTACGGGGGGTGTGTCTGACTAACAGTACTTACGGGGGGTGTGTGTCTGACTAACAGTACTTACGGGGGGTGTGTCTGACTAACAGTACTTACGGGGGGTGTGTCTGACTAATAGTACTTACGGGGGGGTGTGTGTCTGACTAACAGTACTTACGGGGGGTGTGTCTGACTAATAGTACTTACGGGGGGTGTGTGTCTGACTAACAGTACTTACGGGGGTGTGTCTGACTAACAGTACTTACGGGGGGTGTGTGTCTGACTAACAGTACTTACGGGGGGTGTGTCTGACTAACAGTACTTACGGGGGGGGGTGTCTGACTAACAGTACTTACGGGGGGTGTGTCTGACTAACAGTACTTACGGGGGGTGTGTCTGACTAACAGTACTTACGGGGGGTGTGTGTCTGACTAACAGTACTTACGGGGGGTGTGTCTGACTAACAGTACTTACGGGGGGTGTGTCTGACTAACAGTACTTACGGGGGGTGTGTCTGACTAACAGTACTTACGGGGGGTGTGTCTGACTAACAGTACTTACGGGGGGTGTGTGTATGCGATTGTCCCTCCACACCTCCAGGAGTGCGACCACCATTTCATGGATTTCGTCTCGAGACAGAACCCCATCCCGGTCCACATCAAACACTTTGAAACAAACTGGGAAACAAGAGAGGAGGAGGGTACAAAATACTCCATGACATAACATTGTCGTTTCTAAACTACAGACTCCAGTAGAGGCTCAATGATCTAACCCTAACCCGGCTGGTGACTAAGCCTACACGGCCCAACCCTAGAGCAGTCACCTCTGATTGATCTGATTCTAACGAATACACCAGAGAGATACATGTTTCTACAGGTGTCTTCACCCAAGATATTAGTGACCGTTGCCCAGTTGTTTGTGTTAGAGACGTGAGAATTCAAAACATCTAAGCCTCGTGTCGTCACAGAGGAACTTAAAAAACTGCAGTGAACAGGCTTTTTTTTACATTATCTTTATTTTACCTTGAATGTATTTCAGCTTTTCCCTGAACCTGATTTAGCTTTGAACCTCTTGGCAGATGTCTTCAATACTATTGTGGATAATCATGCTCCCTTTAATTAAGGGTTAAAGGTAGATCGAATGGTAGACTCCGGAATTATCAGCAGTCATTCATAAAAGAGATGATGCTTGGGTCAAGGCCAGGAACAAAGGCTTAGGCCCGGACTGGCAAGCTATTAAGTAACTGAGGAATCATTGTGTAAAACAAATCAGAAAGGCTAAATCTGATTATTATCTAACCCTTCTTTCAGATTGTAATGGGAACCCGGCTAAAATCTGGAATTCAGACACTGGCCTCATTACGGGAAAAAAACGCCATCATTGATGCATTTAATCACCATTTTATTTCAGCAGGCAGCCAGTTTCCTCTTTGAAAAAACTTCTAAGCCTATTCACAATGATAATGGTCTGGATGCTGATAGAGGAAACTTGCTGAATGATCAGAGAAATTACAGTCAAAGCAATTATTTTACACTATTTACAGAAATATAAGTCCTGGATGCTTTGCTAGTAATAGACAACAAGAAATCCACAGGGGCAGACGAATTGAATCCTGGTCTGGTTAAGTGTGCAGCGCCCATCATTGTTGACTCAATGACCCATATTTTTTATTTAACATTGTTATCAGGAAGTATTCCTAAAGTATGGAAATCAGCTCTTGTGCTGCCACTCCATAAGGGGCGGGGATAATAGTGATCTTAATAATTATCGCCCCATTTTCATGGCTTCCTTGTCTAGCTAAGATTCTCGAATCCTTGCTAAATGTAGAACATCGCTCTTATTTATCTGAGAAATGTACAGTGCATTAGGAAAGTATTCAGACCCCTTCACTTTTTCCACTTTGTTACATTACAGCCTTATTCTAAAATGGATTAAATAAATGTTTTCCCCTCATCACTCCACACACAATCCCCCATAATGACAAAGTGAAAACAGGTTTTTAGAAATGTTTGCAAATTCATTAAAAATAAAAAAAACTGAAAAACCTTATAAGTATTCAGACCCTTTGCTATGAGACTTGAAATTGAGCTCAGGTGCATCCTGTTTCCATTGATCATCCTTGAGATGTTTTTACAACTTGATTGGAGTCCACCTGTGGCAAATTCAATTGATTGGACATGATTTGGAAAGGCACACGTCTGTCTATATAAGGCCCCATAGTTGACAGTGCATGTCAGAGCAAAAACCAAGCCATGAGGTCGAAGGAATTGTCCGTAGAGCTCCGAGACAGGATTGTGTCGAGGCACAGATCTGGGGAAGGGAACCAAAAAATGTCTGCAGCATTGAAGGTCCCCAAGAACACAGTGGCCTCAATCATTCTTAAATGGAAGTTTGGAACCACCAAGACTCTTCCTAGAGCTGGCCACCCGGCCAAACGGAGCAATCGGGGGAGAAGGGCCTTGGTCAAGGAGTTCCTCTGTGGAGATGGGAGAACCTTCCAGAAGGACAACCATCTCTGCAGCACTCCACCAATCAGGCCTTTAAGGTAGAGTGGCCAGACGGAAGCCACTCCTCAGTAAAATGCACATGACAGCCCGCTTGGAGTTTGCCAAAAGGCACCTAAAGGACTCTCAGACCATGAGAAACAAGATTCTCTGGTCTGATGAAACCAAGATTGAACTCTTTGACCTGAATGCCAAGCGTCAAGTCTGGAGGAAACCAGGCACCGCTCATCACCTGGTCAATACCATCACCACCGGTGAAGCCAATACCATTGTGTGTAGATTGATGAGGTTCAATTTTTATTTAATCAATTTTAGAATAAGGCTGTAACGTAACAAAATAGTGTTTAATGTGGGATTTTTTATATTGTATTATACAGGACGCGTCTGGAAAAGAGACCTAGGTCTCAATATGTCTTCCCTGTCAAAATAAAGGTTAAATAAAATGAAAGATAAAGCTGCAGTCGTGCTGCTAGACATCTGTATTCCTCTGCATTATTTAGATCATTAACTAGAGTCTTAAAATCCCAATATCTGCTGCCATTTCCAAGAGTGAAAATGTAATTTAGGCCTGATGAGAATTTAGATGACAGGATAGATTACAAACTGATGACTATTCAGAGGCAGTAGACATCAGTAACATCCACAGGGGGAAAGCTCTGCCTCTCTTCCACTCACGAGCACCATCATGTGTGAAAGGAAGCCTTATGTTAGGAAATCACTACTCTCTACCTGTGAGAACAAAATCACACGGCAGCTCTTACATTTCTGCCTCTCGGCGACGGGCCCCCGGCAACAGGCAGACAGGCCACAGGAGATCTCCTTAAAGTCGATGTGATTGTCCCGGTTCTCATCGAAGGCATGAAACAAACCTGGAAAACAAGATCATATGTTCTACTTTCAAATTGATCTTTGTAAAAGAGAAATAGCTTTGTGTGAGGGCTTGAATAAATACAACAGGTGGCATCAGATCTTTAGGGAACTCGTCCAACCGGATCACTAAGGATCATTTACAGTCATAAATGTTAATGTATTTATGTATTTTACATCATGAACCACAGATTGGAATGTAAACAGAAATTCTGACAGAAACTTTTAAATATTCATGACGTTTAGTTTTAAAGAAAGTGCTACAGATGCATAACGTGACTTACGGCTGCTTTTCACAACAGAAGCCACCCGCCCCACTGCTTGTGTTGTGAGATACATATTTTTGTTTGAACGAAAAACACGGGGGTTTGGCCCAGCCATAGCTGCTGGGCTGGCCTTGGGGAAAGGTGTGTCTTTGTGCTAAATCCACTCGAACAACCTTCATTGTGCCTCGCTCTTGGAGCTAGTGGAGTGAGAGGAAACATCTCTAGCTGTTCAAAACACAGCCAACACACACTGACAAAGTGACAAAGTCACAAATAAAAAATGGCCAACATTCTCCTGTTTAGGTCAGTGTTGACATGTTTGCCTTTATAATCAATTTAGCCTGCTAGCTACATGCTAGCTAACGTTAGCTGCTAACCTTTGTGTGTTCGACAATGCAGCTATAAGCGAACGTTAGCTAGCGCAAAGACCCGTCTCCCCAAGGCCAGCCCAGCCGGTATGACTGGGCCCAACCCCCATGTTTTCGTTCAAACAATTTTGGATTCTCTCACAACACAAGCAGTGGGGACGGAGCTTCTGTTGTGAAAAAGCAATCTGGGCTTTAATGTACGTTTAATGTCCAAACAACATGGTCTTAACATTGCAGCAGAAGGGCTTCTCATCAAAATAATCCATATACAATATGTACAGTAATTTGCATAATTTAGTGGAATTAAATTGGCGCTTGTGTATGTTCGAGATATACAGCTCTGGAAATTGCAAAATTATCAGTTTCTCTGGTTTTACTATTTATAGGTATGTGTTTGGGTGAAATTGTCACGATCGTCTACCAAAGAGGAGGACCAAGGCGCAGCGTTGCAGGCAAACATACTCTTTAATTAGAGACACGATCAAAACAACAAACGATACGTGACAGTTCACGGTCTAACATAAACAGACTTGAAACAAGATCCCACAAACACAAATGGGAAACAGACAGTTTAAATATGGCTCCCAATCAGAGACAACCAACGACAGTTGACACTCGTTGCCTCTGATTGGGAGCCACTCAGGCCAACATAGAAATACACATACTAGATAAACAAATGAAATGCACACCCTGGCTCAACATACAGTGTCCCCAGAGCCAGGGCATGACAGTACCCCCCCCTAAAGGCGCGGACTCCGACCGCGCCCACCAAACACCACAGGGGAGGGACCGGGTGGGCACTCCGCTTAGGCGGCGGATCCGGCTCCGGGCCTGATCCCCGCTCCCTCTCCAACCCCCCAAAGTACCCCTGGTCCGGTCTGGCCCCGCTGGCCGGAGCTGGACTGCACACTGGTGGAGCGGATTGCTCTAGCTCCGGCGTGAAGCAGCTGACCGGTGCCGGACCAGCCACCGGTGGAACAGGCACAGGCCGTGCCGGACTGACGACGCACACCACTGGCTTGGTGTGGGGAGCAGGAGCGGGCCGCGCCGGGCTGACGAAACGCACCACTGACTTGGTGCGGGGAGCAGGAACGGGCCGAGCTGGGCTGACGAAACGCACCACTGACTTGGTGCGGGGAGCAGGAATGGGCCGGACCGGGCTGACGACGCGCACCATTGACTTGGTGCGGGGAGCAGGAACGGGCCGCGCCGGGCTGACGAAACGCACCACTGACTTGGTGCGGGGAGCAGGAGCGGGCCGGACCGGGCTGACGAAGCGCACCACTGACTTGGTGCGGGGAGCAGGAACGGGCCGTGCCGGGCTGACGAAGCGCACCACTGACTTGGTGCGAGTGGCAGGAACAGGCCGGACCGTACTGGGAACACACACCACTGGCCCTACGTGGGGATCAGGAACAGGCCGGACCGGACTGGCAACACACGCCAGTACCTCTACATCCTCCCTCCCCCTGGTGACCAGTGACTCCCGTAACCTGGCGGCCTCCTGCTGCCCCGTCGTCCACGGCGTTAGCCCCCCCCTAAAAATTTTATGGGCTTCACTCCTACCCGTGGCCAAGGCCTCCATCCCTCTTGCCAGACTCGCACTCATCTCCTCCCAAGTCCATCCTCTCTCCTCGTCACGCTGCTTGATCCAGTCGAGGTGGGATCTTCTGTCACGATCGTCGACCAGAGATGAGGACCAAGGCGCAGCGTTGCAGGCAAACATACTCTTTAATTAGAGACACGATCAAAAACAACAAACGATACGTGACAGTTCACGGTCTAACATAAACAGACTTGAAACAAGATCCCACAAACACAAATGGGAAACAGACAGTTTAAATATGGCTCCCAATCAGAGACAACCAACGACAGCTGACACTCGTTGCCTCTGATTGGGAGCCACTCAGGCCAACATAGAAATACACATACAAGATAAACAAATGAAATGCACACCCTGGCTCAACATACAAGTGTCCCCAGAGCCAGGGCGTGACAGAAATTAACATTTTTGTTTTATTCTATAAACTACTGACAACATTTCTCCCAAATTCCAAATAAAAATATTGTCATTTAGAGCATTTATTTGCAGAAAATGACAACTGGTCAAAATAACAAAAAAGATGCAGTGTTGTCAGACCTCGAATAATGCAAAGAAAATAAGTTGATGTTCATTTTTAAACAACACAATAGTAATGTTTTAACTTAGGAAGAGTTCAGAAATCAATATTTGGTGGAATAACACATTTTCATTCACAGCTTTCATGCATCTTGGCATGCTCTCCACCAGTCTTTCACATTGATGTTGGGTGACTTTATGCCACTCCTGGTGCAAAAATTCAAGCAGCTCGGCTTTGTTTGATGGCTTGTGACCATCCATCTTCCTCTTGATCACATTCCAGAAGTTTTCAATGGGGTTCAGGTCTGGAGATTGGGCTGGCCATGACAGGGTCTTGATCTGGTGGTCCTCCATCCACACCTTGATTGACCTGGCTGTGTGGCATGGCACATTGTCCTGCTGGAAAAACCAATCCTCAGAGTTGGGGAACAATGTCAGCGCAAAAGGAAGCACGTTTTCTTCCAGGACAACCTTGTACGTGGCTTGATTCATGCGTCCTTCACAAAGACAAATCTGCCTGATTCCAGCATTGCTGAAGCACCCCCAGATCATCACCGATCCTCCACCAAATTTCACAGTGGGTGCGAGACACTGTGGCTTGTAGGCCTCTCCAGGTCTCCGTCTAACCATTAGACGACCAGGTGTTGGGCAAAGCTGAAAATTGGACTCATCAGAGAAGATGACCTTACTACAGTCCTCTACGGCAATATCCTAATGGTCTTTTGCAAACCTCAGCCTGGCTCTTCTTTGCTTCTCATTGACTTCAGCCCTGCCCCTAGGAGCCTGTTTCGAACCGTCCTCGCCGTGCACTTCACCCCAGCTGCCGTTTGCCATTCTTTTTGTAGGTCACTTGATGTCATCCTACGGATGTTGAGTGACATTCGAATGAGTTGGCGGTCATCCCGGTCAGTAGAGAGCTGTTTTCACCCTCTGCCGGTCTGTAGCTTTGTTGTCCCCAATGTCTGCTGCTTGACCTTATTCTTATGAACCGCCGTCTTTTAAATTTTAAGGATGGAAGCAACCTGACGCTCACTATATCCCTCTGCCAGTAAAGCCAGAATTTAACCCTTGTTTTCCTCACTCAAAACTTTCCTTTTCAACTCTTTTGGCTTGGTCAATAGTTATTTTTTGATTAATATTACTTTTGAGGTACTATTAGCACTGTTTTTGCCATCCAGCTGGTCCTATTGCAAGAGGATAGTGATGACCACAGCAGTGGTTTTTATACTTTTCCTTGTTAACTAAGATTTGGTTCATGTGATCACCTAATAAGTACCTAATTCAGTAGAATGAGGTGTTGGAATTCAACAGACACTGGAATGGAATGGCTGTCATACATGTAGAAATGCTGATTTAAGAAACATTTGCAGTGGTCTCTTAATTTTTTTCCAGAGCTGTATATACAGCACCAGTCAAAAGTTTAGTCACACCTACTTATTCCAGGGTTTTCCATTATTTTTACTATATTCTACATTGTAGAAATAACAGTGAAGACATCAAAACTATGACATAACACACATGGAATCATGTAGTAACCAACATTTTTTATATTTGAGATTCGTCAAAGTAACCACCCTTTGCCTTGATGACAGCTTTGAACATTCTTGGCATTCCCTCAACAAGCTTCACATGGAATGCTTTTCCAACAGTCTTGAAGGAGTTCCCACATATGCTGAGCACTTGTTGGCTGCTTTTCCTTCACTCTGCCGTCCGACTCATCCCAAACCATCTCAAATTGGGTTGAGGTCGGGTGATTGTGGAGGCCAGGTCTGATGCAGCACTCCATCACTCTCCTTCTTGGTCAAATAGCCCTTACACAGCCTGGAGGTGTGTTGGGTCATTGTCCTGTTGAAAAACAAATGATAGTCCCACTAAGCCCAAACCAGATGGGATGGCGTATCGCTGCAGAATGCTATGATAGCCATGCTGGTTAAGTGTGCCTTGAATTCTAAATAAATCACAGACAGTGTCACCAGCAAAGCACACCCACACCATAACACCTCCTTCTCCATGCTTCACGGTGGGAACTACACATGCGGAGATCATTCGTTCACCCACACCGCGTCTCACAAAGACACAGTGGTTGGAACCAAAAATCTCAAATTTGGACTCCAGACAAAAGGACACATTTCCACCGGTCTAATGTCATTGCTCGTGTTTCTTGGCCCAAGCAGGTCTCTTCTTCTTATTGGTGTCCTTTAGTAGTGGTTTCTTTGCAGCAATTCGATCATGAAGGCCTGATTCACACAGTCTCCTCTGAACAGTTGATGTTGAGATGTGTCTGTTGCTTGAACTCTGTGAAGCATTTATTTCGGCTGCGATTTCTGAGGCTGGTAACTCTAACGAACTTATCCTCTGCAGCAGAGGTAACTCTGGGTCTTCCTTTCCTGTGGCTGTCCTCATGAGAGCCAGTTTCATCATAGCGCCTGATTGTTTTTGCAACTGTACTTGAAGAAACTTTAAAAGGTCTTGAAATGTTCCGTATTGACTGACCTTCACGTCTTAAAGTAATGATGGACTGTCATTTCTCTTTGATTATTTGAGCTGTTCTTGCCATAATTGACCTTGGTCTTTTACCAAATAGGGCTATCTTCTGTATACCACCCCTACCTTGTCACAACACAACTGATTGGCTCAAACGCATTAAGAAGGAAAGAAATTCCACAAATTAACTTTTAAGAAGGCACACCTGTTAAGTGGTGGTTGGTGGTTTGTTGTGACCAAGTGTTGGTGCTGAACTGTGTGTTTTTGGATGCTAGCATGCTAGTTAGCTATGGTGTCATAGTTAGCTAGCTGAATAAAGTGGGTTGAGTCTATTCCTTTAAACATTGAACCGCTGTGGTTCACAACAATTCTGATTTCTAAAGGTGGAAGTTGGTAGAGTTTTTGTTCGGGTGGTTCAGTGAAACAATTATAGTTTCTGAGGTAGAAGTATTTGGTGAGGGAGGCCCTGCTCTCTACTCTCCCAGATGTTTAGTTCATTTCATTCCGATCTCCTCTGCATTATTGTAGCCATTTGCTACAGCCTGTCAACTATGCCTCTGCCTATCCCTGTTCTCTCCTCTCTGCACAGGCTACACAAACGCCCCACACCGCGTGGCTGCTGCCTCTCTAACCTGGTGGTCCCTGCACGCACCCCACACCTGGAGTTCCAGGTCTCAGGCAGCCTCTGGAACTGCCGTTCTGCTGCCAACAAAGCTGACTTCATCCCAGCCTATGCTAATCTCCAGTCCCTCGACTTCCTGGCGCTGACGGAAACATGGATTACCACTGAAAACACTGCTACTCCTACTGCTCTCTCCTCGTCTGACCATGTGTTCTCGCATACCCCGAGAGCATCTGGTCAGAGGGGTGGTGGCACAGGAATCCTCATCTCTCCCAAGTGGACATTCTCAATTTTTCCCCTAACCCACCTGTCTATCTCCTCATTTGAATTCCATGCTGTCACAGTCACTAGCCCATTTAAGCTTAATATCCTTGTCATCTATCGCCCTCCAGGTTCCCTTGGAGAGTTCATCAATGAGCTTGACGCCTTGATAAGTTCCTTTCCTGAGGATGGCTCACCCCTCACAGTTTTGGGGGATTTCAACCTCCCTATGTCCACATTTGACTCATTTCTCTCTGCCTCCTTCTTTCCACTCCTCTCCTCTTTTGACCTCACCCTCTAACCGTCCCCCCCTACTCACAAGGCAGGCAATACGCTTGACCTCATCTTTACTAGATGCTGCTCTTCTACTAATCTCACTGCAACTCCCCTCCATGTCTCCGACCACTACTTTGTTTCCTTTTCTCTCTCGCTCTCCTCCCACACTACTCACTCTGCCCCTACACAGATGGTAATGCGCCGCCGCAACCTTCGCTCTCTCTCTCCCACTACTCTCTCCTCTTCCATCCTATCATCTCTTCCCTCTGCTCAATCCTTCTCCCTCCAATCTCCTGATTCTGCCTCCTCAACCCTCCTCTCCTCCCTTTCTGCATCCTTTGACTCTCTGTGTCCCCTATCCTCCCGGCCGGCTCGGTCCTCCCCTCCAGCTCCGTGGCTTGATGACTCATTGCGAGCTCACAGAACAGAGCTCCGGGCAGCGGAGCGGAAATGGAAGAAAACTAAACTCCCTGCCGACCTGGCATCTTTTCACTCCCTCCTCTCTACATTTTCTTCATCTGTTTCTGCTGCTAAGGCCACTTTCTACCACTCTAAATTCCAAGCATCTGCCTCTAACCCTAGGAAGCTCTTTGCCACATTTTCCTCCCTGCTGAATCCTCCCCCCCCCCCCTCCTCTCTCTCTGTGGATGACTTCGTCAACCACTTTGAAAAGAAGGTTGACGACATTCGATCCTCATTTGTTAAGTCTAATGACACTGCTGGTCCTACTCACACTGCCCTACCCTATGCTTTGACTTCTTTCTCCCCTCTCTCTCCAGATAAAATCCTGCGACTTGTGACTGCAGGCCGCCCAACAACCTGCCCGCTTGACCCCATCCCCTCCTCTCTTCTCCAGACCATCTCCGGTGACCTTCTCCCCTACCTCACCTCGCTGATCAACTCATCCTTGACCGCTGGCCATGTCCCTTCCGTCTTCAAGAGAGCGAGAGTTGCTCCCCTTCTCAAAAAACCAACACTCGATCCCACTGATGTCAACAACTACAGACCAGTATCCCTTCTTTCTTTTCTTTCCAAAACTATTGAGCGTGCCATCTTTAGCCAACTCTCTTGCTATCTCTCTCAGAATGAACTTCTTGTCAGAATGAACTTCTTGATCCAAACCAGTCAGGTTTCAGGACTGGTCATTCAACTGAGACTGCTCTTCTCTGTGTCACGGAGGCTCTCCGCACTGCTAAAGCTAACTCTCTCTCCTCTGCTCTTGTCCTTCTAGACCTGTCTGCTGCCTTTGATACTGTGAACCATCAGATCCTCCTCTCCACCCTCTCCGAGCTGGGCATCTCCGGCGCGGCTCACTCCTGGATTGCGTCCTACCTGACCGGTCGCTCCTACCAAGTGGCGTGGCGAGAAGCTGTCTCCGCACCACGTGCTCTCACCACTGGTGTCCCCCAGGGCTCAGTTCTAGGCCCTCTCCTTTTCTCCCTATACACCAAGTCACTTGGCTCTGTCATATCCTCACATGGCCTCTCCTATCATTGCTACGCTGACAATACACAACTAATCTTCTCCTTTCCCCCTTCTGATAACCAGGTGGCGAATCGCATCTCTGCATGTCTGGCAGACATATCAGTATGGATGACGGATCACCACCTCAAGCTGAACCCTGGCAAGACGGAGCTGCTCTTCCTCCCGGGGAAGGACTGCCCGTTCCATGATCTCGCCATCACGGTTGACAACTCCGCTGTGTCCTCCTCCCAGAGTGCGAAGAGCCTAGGCGTGACCCTGGACAACACCCTGTCGTTCTCCGCCAACATCAAGGCGGTGACCCGCTCCTGCAGGTTCATGCTCTACAACATTCGGAGAGTACGACCCTGCCTTACACAGGAAGCGGCACAGGTCCTAATCCAGGCACTTGTCATCTCCCGTCTGGACTACTGCAACTCGCTGTTGGCTGGCCTCCCTGCCTGTGCCATTAAACCCCTACAACTCATCCAGAATGCCGCAGCCCGTCTGGTGTTCAACCTTCCCAAGTTCTCTCACGTCACCCCCCTCCTCCGCACACTCCACTGGCTTCCAGTTGAAGCTCGCATCCGCTACAAGACCATGGTGCTTGCCTATGGAGCAGTGAGGGGAACGGCACCTCTGTACCTTCAGGCTCTGATCAGTCCCTACACCCAAACGAGGGCATTGCGTTCATCCACCTCTGGCCTGCTGGCTCCCCTTCCTCTGCGGAAGCATAGTTCCCGCTCAGCCCAGTCAAAACTGTTCGCTGCTCTGGCACCCCAATGGTGGAACAAGCTCCCTCACGACGCCAGGACAGCGGAGTCACTCACCACCTTCCGGAGACATTTGAAACCCCACCTCTTTAAGGAATACCTGGGATAGGATAAAGTAATCCTTCTACCCCCCCCCCCCCCCCCCCCGGCTATAGGGTGAACGCACCAATTTGTGAGTCGCTCTGGATAAGAGCGTCTGCTAAATGACGTAAATGTGCCCTTGAGCAAGGCACTTAACCCTAATTGCTCCTGTAAGTCGCTCTGGATAAGAGCGTCTGCTAAATGACTAAAATGTAAATGTAAATGTAAATGAAATGCATTCCAGGTGAATACCTCATGAAGCTGGTTGAGAGAATGCCAAGAGTGTGCAAAGCTGTCATCAAGGCAAAGGTGGCTACTTTGAAGAAACTCAAAATATAAAATATATTTTGATTTGTTTAACACTTTTTGGGATACTACATGATTCCATATGTGTTATTTCATAGTTTTGATGTCTTCACTACTATTGTACAATGTAGAATATAGTAAAAATAAAGAAAAACCCTTGAATGAGTAGGTGTGTCCAAACTTTTGACTGGTAGTGTACGTATACAAAGTATGGCATTTAAACATCATTTTGTCATGGGTCATGGGTGACTGTCTGGCTGGGGGCAACAGGTTTACCAGGTCCCCATAATATCTACCTGGCATCAGAAATATTACATAACTTCACTTAGCGAAGCGTGAATGGGAGGAGAGAACATACCTTCACTTAGCGAAGCATGAATGGGAGGAGAGAACATACCTTCACTTAGCAAAGCGTGAATGGGAGGAGAGAACATACCTTCACTTAGCGAAGCGTGAATGGGAGGAGAGAACATACCTTCACTTAGCGAAGCGTGAATGGGAGGAGAGAACATACCTTCACTTAGCGAAGCGTGAATGGGAGGAGAGAACATACCTTCACTTAGCGAAGCGTGAATGGGAGGAGAGAACATACCTTCACTTAGCGAAGCGTGAATGGGAGGAGAGAACATACCTTCACTTAGCGAAGCGTGAATGGGAGGAGAGAACATACCTTCACTTAGCGAAGCGTGAATGGGAGGAGAGACCAGCGGGACAAAGGTTTCCAAGTCGAAGCGGCCGGTCCTGGACTGGGCTTTCAGCAGCCAGTAGCGCTTCTCCAAGTCAATGATATCAGACTCTTCTACTGCAGGAGGGGAGAGGAAGAAAACACTTTTTAAATAATCAAAATGGCAACCAACATAGAGAGTGTTTTGTAGATTAGCTGAGCATCTTCTTACTAGAACACAAATCACATGACCCTAGCAGTGCTAGTACAGAAAAGGAAAGGAAACAACAGTGTAGATCTTCACCCAGCTTCTGTTCATCTCTACATGGTGCTATAGTGGACTATATGGACTTGGACTAAGATATGGCGCCATGCCGATGACGTCATGTGTTTTCATGGTTCCATTCTGATGGGAATATGGATTATGGACTGTTTGGAGCCACGTCGATGATGTTAACATGTTTCCATTCTGATGGACATTTGGATTATGGACAGATTTGTAACGAGCAGCACAGAGGATAGTAGTCTTAAGTAGTACTCTCAAGTAGCCTGGCCCCAGATCTTTAAGTAGGGTTGCAAAATTCCAGAATTCCAGATTTCCTGCTTATTCCCTGATTCCGGGAATCTTCCTACTGGGATTTCTGGAAAACCTGGGAATTCTGGTTACCGGAATTTTGCAACACTATCCGTAAGCGATTTAGTTTATCCAGGTTAGTCTTGAGCTGAGACCATGACTCAACCTAAAAGACAGTGCACTAATATAGCTACTGTTAAGTATGAAACATGCCAGCCAGAAAGGGGCCGGAGACCCTGGGTTCATCCTCCCACTCCTTTCATCACACTGATCCACAGCTTTACGCTAATAGGATTAGCCTAAGGCTCGCTAGCTCATTCTATCCCAGGCTTCCCTTTCCACCACACTGTCCCATGACCCAGCCCATGCATGTCAGTCAGGCAGGTGTCAAAACACAGACAGAAATCAAGACTGCATGCCTTAAAATGGCACCCTATATAGCGCACTAATTTTGTAGTGCACTATATAGGGAAGAGGGTGTCATTTGGGATGCAGATCAAGTCACATTGACTTTCTGGCAGGAGAGGAGACAGTCCGGATTTCCACCACTTAAGTCTCACTTATAAGACTGACATCCTGGTTTGCTGTCTGCATTTATAAGACTGATGGGTCAATAAGACAGTGATGCCACCGGGGGATAATATATCCAGGCTAGCCCTTCAACCTAGCAGTGAAAGCTGCAGCTCAGTTGGTAGAGGATGGCGCTTGCAACGCCAGGGTTGTGGGTTCGTTTCCCACGGGGGGGGGGGGGGGGGGGGGCAGTATGAAAAATGTATGCACTCACTAACTGTTAAGTCGCTCTGGATAAGAGCGTCTGCTAAAATGACTAAAATGTAAATGTGTGTGTGGATTGAAAGTGGCTCTTTCTTTCTTTCCTTCTCTCCCGCCCCCTGAAGTTAATTCCTAAAAGAGCCCGCCTCAGCTGGGTTCAGTTGACTCTGTGGAGAGAGTGTGTGTGTGTGTGTGTTCATTCTGAAGACAGATGGAGAAAGAGAGAAGTGGAGATGCCAAGCAGACTGATTGGAAAGAAATAAGCACCAGCTGCTTCTTCAGTGGTTCTGGTTCAATAACCTTTCTACCTCCGTTCAGTCCTAACCCTCCTCAGAGAGATGCTCTGAAACATCAAACTTCAACTAATCGAGAACATAACCTGGGGGGGGGGGGGGAGAGAGAGAGGGAGACAGAGGAAGAGAGGGTATGGATATGGCATGGGGGAAGTAATGGTGGACAGATTCATAATTGAGAAGCATAGTGTGGCGTGTGGGGGGGCAGGTGTGTGTAGTGGGGCGCGCCACTGACTGATTGAATGCCCCTTTAAGAGTAGAGCAGCTGGACAACACAAGATCCTCCATAAACAAACACGAACACGCATGCACGTCATACGCACACACACCTAGCAATATAAATAAAACCTCAAAAATTAGGTCCTCCAACTGGTCTTTCAGAAACACTGAGAGAACACCAATATAGTCCGTGTATCAATCCCAAACGCTAAACAAACATGAATGAAAGCTATTTGTGTTTTTTTAATTTACTGAACGCAGGCCAGCGTGGGTAGCCGAAGGCGGTGATTAGTGCATTGGTAAGGCCCTGGTATGGACTAGCGAACAAGCCTAAGCGGTGATTAGTGGGAGTGGAAGGCGCTGGGTATGGACTAGCGAAACAGAGCCTAGCGGTGATTAGTGCAGTGGTAAGGCCTGGTATGGGACTAGCGAACAGAGCCTGCAAATAATTAGTGCAGTGGTAAGGACTGGTATGGGACTAGCGAACAGAGCCTAGTCGGTGATTAGTGCAGTGGTAAGGCCTAGGGGATTAGTGAGTGGTAAGGCCTGGTTATGGGACTAGCGGTGATTAGTGCAGTGGTACGGTAAGGACTGGTATGGACTAGCGGTGATTAGTGCATGTGGTAAGGACTGGTATGGAATAGCGAAAGAGCCTAGCGGTGATTAGTGCAGTGGTAAGGCTGGTATGGACTAGCATGATTAGTTGCAGTGGTAAGGACTGTATGGACTAGGCAGTGATTAGTGCAGTGGTAAGGACTGGTATGGACTAGCAGTGATAGTGCAGTGGTAAGACTGGTATGGGACTAGCAGTGATTAGTGCAGTGGTAAGGACTGGGTGGACTAGCAGTGATTAGTGCAGTGGTAAGGGACTGTAATGGACTAGCATGATTAGTGCAGTGGTAAGGACTGGTATGACTAGCATTGATTAGTGCAGTGGTAAGGGACTGGTATGGACTAGCAGTGAATTAGTGCAGTGGTAAGGACTGGTATGGACTAGCGAACAGAGTCCTAGCGGTGATTAGTGCAGTTGGTAGGACTAGCGAACGAGCCTACGGGTGATTAGTGCAGTGGTAAGGACGGATATGGACTAGCCAGTGATTAGTGCAGTGGTAAGGACTGATATGGACTAGCAGTGATTAGTGCAGTGGTAAGGACTGGTATGGACTAGCAGTTGATTAGTGCAGTGGTAAGGACTGGTATGGACTAGCCAGTGATTAGTGCAGTGGTAGGACGGTATGGACTAGCAGTGGATTAGTGCAGTGGGTAAGGACTGTAGGACTGCGAACAGAGCCTAGCGGTGATTAGTGCAGTGGTAAGGACTAGCGAACAGAGCCTAGCGGTGATTAGTGCAGTGGTAAGGACCTGGTATGGACTAGCAGTGATTAGTGCAGTGGTAAGGACTGGTATGGACTAGCAGTGATTAGTGCAGTGGTAAGGACTGGTATGGACTAGCAGTGATTAGTGCAGTGGTAAGGACTGGTATGGACTAGCAGTGATTAGTGCAGTGGTAAGGACTGGTATGGACTAGCAGTGATTAGTGCAGTGGTAAGGACTGGTATGGACTAGCGAACAGAGCCTAGCGGTGATTAGTGCAGTGGTAAGGACTAGCGAACAGAGCCTAGCGGTGATTAGTGCAGTGGTAAGGACTGGTATGGACTAGCAGTGATTAGTGCAGTGGTAAGGACTGGTATGGACTAGCAGTGATTAGTGCGGTGGTAAGGACTGGTATGGACTAGCGAACAGAGCCTAGCGGTGATTAGTGCAGTGGTAAGGACTAGCGAACAGAGCCTAGCGGTGATTAGTGCAGTGGTAAGGACTGGTATGGACTAGCAGTGATTAGTGCAGTGGTAAGGCCTGGTATGGACTAGCAGTGATTAGTGCAGTGGTAAGGACTAGCGAACAGAGCCTAGCGGTGATTAGTGCAGTGGTAAGGACTAGCGAACAGAGCCTAGCGGTGATTAGTGCAGTGGTAAGGACTGGTATGGACTAGCAGTGATTAGTGCAGTGGTAAGGACTAGCGAACAGAGCCTAGCAGTGATTAGTGCAGTGGTAAGGACTGGTATGGACTAGCAGTGATTAGTGCAGTGGTAAGGCCTGGTATGGACTAGCAGTGATTAGTGCAGTGGTAAGGACTAGCGAACAGAGCCTAGCGGTGATTAGTGCAGTGGTAAGGACTAGCGAACAGAGCCTAGCGGTGATTAGTGCAGTGGTAAGGACTGGTATGGACTAGCAGTGATTAGTGCAGTGGTAAGGACTAGCGAACAGAGCCTAGCGGTGATTAGTGCAGTGGTAAGGACTAGCGAACAGAGCCTAGCGGTGATTAGTGCAGTGGTAAGGCCTGGGACTAGCGAACAGAGCCTAGCGGTGATTAGTGCAGTGGTAAGGCCTGGTAAGGACTAGCGAACAGAGCCTAGCGGTGATTAGTGCAGTGGTAAGGACTAGCGAACAGAGCCTAGCGGTGATTAGTGCAGTGGTAAGGCCTGGTAAGTACTAGCGAACAGAGCCTAGCGGTGATTAGTGCAGTGGTAAGTACTAGCGAACAGAGCCTAGCGGTGATTAGTGCAGTGGTAAGGACTAGCGAACAGAGCCTAGCGGTGATTAGTGCAGTGGTAAGGCCTGGTATGTACTAGCGAACAGAGCCTAGCGGTGATTAGTGCAGTGGTAAGGCCTGGTAAGTACTAGCGAACAGAGCCTAGCGGTGATTAGTGCAGTGGTAAGGCCTGGTATGGACTAGCGAACAGAGCCTAGCGGTGATTAGTGCAGTGGTAAGGCCTGGTATGGACTAGCGAACAGAGCCTAGCGGTGATTAGTACAGTGGTAAGGCCAGGTAGGGACTAGCGAACAGAGCCTAGCGGTGATTAGTACAGTGGTAAGGCCAGGTAGGGACTTGTGAGGAAAGCAGAGCTGAGGGGGAATAAATACCTGCTCATCTTGTTGCTGTGTGTCATTACTCAGGGCTGCTGCTGCAGCCTGCCTGACACTGCTAATCTAGAAAACTCATTACCGTTCCTATGGATCGACTCCAGGACGTCTCATCCCCTCACTAGATAGCTCACTGACTGGCTCCAGGACATGTCTCATCCCCTCACTAGATAGCTCACTGACTGACTCCAGGACATGTCTCATCCCCTCACTAGATAGCTCACTGACTGGCTCCAGGACATGTCTCATCCCCTCACTAGATAGCTCACTGACTGGCTCCAGGACATGTCTCATCCCCTCACTAGATAGCTCACTGACTGGCTCCAGGACATGTCTCATCCCCTCACTAGATAGCTCACTGACTGACTCCAGGACATGTCTCATCCCCTCACTAGATAGCTCACTGACTGGCTCCAGGACATGTCTCATCCCCTCACTAGATAGCTCACTGACTGGCTCCAGGACATATCCGATCCCCTCGTTAGCTAGCTCACTGACTGGATCCAGGACATGTCCGATCCCCTCGTTAGCTAGCTCACTGACTGGATCCAGGACATGTCAGATCCCCTCGTTAGCTAGCTCACTGACTGGATCCAGGACATGTCTGATCCCCTCGTTAGCTAGCTCACTAACTGGATCCAGGACATGTCTGATCCCCTCGTTAGCTAGCTCACTGACTGGATCCAGGACATGTCCGATCCCCTCGTTAGCTAGCTCACTGACTGGATCCAGGACTTGTCCGATCCCCTCGTTAGCTAGCTCACTGACTGACTCCAGGACATGTCAGATCCCCTCGTTAGCTAGCTCACTGACTGGATCCAGGACATGTCCGATCCCCTCGTTAGCTAGCTCACTGACTGAATCCAGGACATGTCAGATCCCCTCGTTAGCTAGCTCACTGACTGGATCCAGGACATGTCCGATCCCCTCGTTAGCTAGCTCACTGACTGGATCCAGGACATGTCCGATCCCCTCGTTAGCTAGCTCACTGACTGGATCCAGGACATGTCCGATCCCCTCGTTAGCTAGCTCACTAACTGGATCCAGGACATGTCTGATCCCCTCGTTAGCTAGCTCACTGACTGGATCCAGGACATGTCCGATCCCCTCGTTAGCTAGCTCACTGACTGGATCCAGGACTTGTCCGATCCCCTCGTTAGCTAGCTCATTGACTGGATCCAGGACATGTCCGATCCCCTCGTTAGCTAGCTCACTGACTGACTCCAGGACATGTCCGATCCCCTCGTTAGCTAGCTCACTGACTGGATCCAGGACATGTCTGATCCCCTCGTTAGCTAGCTCTCTGACTGGATCCAGGACACGTCCGATCCCCTCGTTAGCTAGCTCACTGACTGAATCCAGGACACGTCCGATCCCCTCGTTAGCTAGCTCACTGACTGACTCCAGGACATGTCCGATCCCCTCGTTAGCTAGCTCACTGACTGAATCCAGGACACGTCCGATCCCCTCGTTAGCTAGCTCACTGACTGAATCCAGGACACGTCCGATCCCCTCGTTAGCTAGCTCACTGACTGAATCCAGGACACGTCCGATCCCCTCGTTAGCTAGCTCACTGACTGGATCCAGGACACGTCCGATCCCCTCGTTAGCTAGCTCACTGACTGAATCCAGGACACGTCCGATCCCCTCGTTAGCTAGCTCACTGACTGAGTAGGGAATAGGGTGCCATTTGGGACACCCCCCTTAAATTAGCACGCTAGATTAACCGCTAGGCTGTTTCAGGACAGTACTGGCTGGTTGAGACTGATCTCTTTAAAAACGGCTAGAGCTTGCTGTTGGAGTCTGTTTAAAATACAGACTTGTTCTTAAACAAGAGGCTACATCTCCATCACTGAGTAGCTAGACACACAGAGAGAAATGATTGGCATTCTGCGTTTGGGTCTCATGACAAACGGCAAGTGAGTTCACACAAAACACCTCCAATTTACACTTCCACAATCTGGAAGACAGGGAGAGGGAGAGGATTACACAGCAAGTACAACCACTAACTCACTCCAACTATCGCTTCATTGAAAAGACACACTTGTCAGCGTTGACCACTTCCTAGTAGTGTCCCAAATGGCACCCTATTCCCTATATAGTACACTTCATAGGGAAGAGGGTGCCCTTTGGGATGCGGACCTCAACTACAGAGGTCCAGCGGCGTGCCCAGTACCCACCTAGAGGTGCGACTCTGTCGGAGTGGCAACAGAGGTACCAAACCATATTCCACCACACATGCCCGGGGACGTGCCGACAGGACTGGCGTGTACCATAGTAGACTCCACACACACACGGCTAACAGCTCAGGAAAACACACCACGACAACTCATGCCATCCTGTTCCAATAGTATTCCAATAATATCCCGGCCAACAACAAGAAGACTGTTAGTCCGCCATGGCTTCTGTTGTGTGTGTCCGGTCGGTGATGGTCCACGTGCGTCTCAGCCAAGAGTGAGGTGATTGCGTAGGTAAGGCATGTTCTGGAAAGTCCATGCACGGATAGTGCACGCCTCACGGCCAGAGCGTGCACACAAAACACCTGCACTCACACACACCGCTCACAGAGTTAAGAGGATAATCTGGGAGTGGGCAGCAGCAGATTACGAGCCATCTGAAGGTACTCTCTCTGATTGGTAGCAAAGATCTCTCCTGCTCTCTGATTCGTCTCAGGATAGAAAGCAGCTAAGATCTTTGATTGGTCTAAGACTGGGACACAGCAACATGTAAGATATTGCTTTCCAATTGACAGCGAAAGAGAGAAGGACTTGAAAGCCAGAAAGAGAATGTGAGAGAGGGTGACAAATACCAAATAACAATAAATATGTGCACCGATTAAAAACGGACAGGTAAAATATCACTGTTTTTTGGGGGGGGGGTCACTCACAGTGTGTGACTCCGGCCAGAGTCTGGTAGAAGGTGGGTGTGTCGCTGTCGTCTGTGAGGGTGACGCACACGCCCCCGGAGAGCAGCCAACGGGAAAAGGTGAACGCCTCCTTGTTCTGAAGGAGCCAGTTCTTAAAGCACTCATAGTTGACTTTCTCCCCCTTAGACAAACAAACAAACACATCATCAACAAAGCATTAAGTTGGCAGCTAGGTGGGTCGCTAAATACTTAACGGGTGAGTACTTGAGAAAATAGTATAGTTGTGGAGACGGACACAGAGTAGCGTTTATGTCACAGTGTATTGTTGGGGAGACGGACACAGAGTAGTGTTTATGTCACAGTGTATTGTTGGGGAGACGGACACAGAGTAGTGTTTATGTCACAGTGTATTGTTTTGGAGACGGACACAGAGTAGCGTTTATGTCACAGCGTATTGTTGGGGAGACGGACACAGAGTAGCGTTTATGTCACAGTGTATAGTTGGGGAGACGGACACAGAGTAGCGTTTATGTCACAGTGTATTGTTGTGGAGACGGACACAGAGTAGTGTTTATGTCACAGTGTATTGTTGTGGAGACGGACACAGAGTAGCGTTTATGTCACAGTGTATTGTTGTGGAGACGGACACAGAGTAGCGTTTATGTCACAGTGTATTGTTGGGGAGACGGACACAGAGTAGCGTTTATGTCACAGTGTATTGTTGGGGAGACAGACACAGAGTAGCGTTTATGTCACAGTGTATTGTTGTGGAGACGGACACAGAGTAGCGTTTATGTCACAGTGTATTGTTGTGGAGACGGACACAGAGTAGCGTTTATGTCACAGTGTATTGTTGTGGAGACGGACACAGAGTAGCGTTTATGTCACAGTGTATTGTTGTGGAGACGGACACAGAGTAGCGTTTATGTCACAGTGTATTGTTGGGGAGACGGACACAGAGTAGCGTTTATGTCACAGTGTATAGTTGGGGAGACGGACACAGAGTAGTGTTTATGTCACAGTGTATTGTTGTGGAGACGGACCACAGAGTAGCGTTATGTCACAGTGTATTGTTGGGGAGACGGACACAGAGTAGCGTTTATGTCACAGTGTATTGTTGGGGAGACGGACACAGAGTAGCGTTTATGTCACAGTGTATTGTTGTGGAGACGGACACAGAGTAGCGTTTATGTCACAGTGTATTGTTGTGGAGACGGACACAGAGTAGCGTTTATGTCACAGTGTATTGTGGAGACGGACACAGAGTAGCGTTTATGTCACAGTGTATTGTTGGGGAGACGGACACAGAGTAGCGTTTATGTCACAGTGTATTGTTGGGGAGACGGACACAGAGTAGCGTTTATGTCACAGTGTATAGGTTGGGAGACGGACACAGAAGTAGCGTTTATGTCACAGTGTATTGTTGTGGAGACGGACACAGAGTAGCGTTTATGTCACAGTGTATGTTGGGGGGAGACGGACACAGAGTAGCGTTTTGTCACAGTGGATAGTTTGGGGAGACGGACACAGAGTAGCGTTTATGTCACAGTGTATTGTTTGTGGAGACGGACACAGAGTAGAGTTTATGTCACAGTGTATTGTTGGGGAGACGGACACAGAGTAGCGTTTATGTCACAGTGTATTGTTGTGGAGACGGACACAGAGTAGCGTTTATGTCACAGTGTATTGTGGAGGTGTCATTGGCCAATAGAGTTACACATTAGTTACAAACAATTTTAAACTGGGTGGTTTGAGCCCTGAATTCTGATTGGCTGAAAGCCATGGTATATCAGACCGTGTACCACGGGTATGACAAAACATTTAGTTTTACTGCTCTAATTACGTTGGCAACCAGTTTATAATAGCAATAAGGAACATCGGGGGTTTGTGATATACGGCCAATATACCACGGCTAAGGGCTGTGTCCAGGCACTCCACGTTGCGTCGTGCATAAGATCAACCCTTAGCTGTGGTATATTGGCCATTTACCACACCCCCTCGGGCGTTATTGCTTAAATATACAATGAAAACATATCATCTTATTCATGCACAAACACACAGTTTTTCCAGTGTAAGATGTTCATGTGTTTAGTGAGCGGTGCTGACAGGCAGTGATGGGAACATGCAGAGCTACGGATCTGGACCATGACAGAACAAGCCTGTTCAACACCATCAACATGGCTGCCAGCCTGTGTGCCTCTCCCACAGGTTCAACATGGCTGCCAGCCTGTGTGCCTCTCCCACAGGTTCAACATGGCTGCCAGCCTGTGTGCCTCTCCCACAGGTTCAACATGGCTGCCAGCCTGTGTGCCTCTCCCACAGGTTCAACATGGTTGCCAGCCTGTGTGCCTCTACCACAGGTTCAACATGGCTGCCAGCCTGTGTGCCTCTTCCACAGGTTCAACATGGCTGCCAGCCTGTGTGCCTCTTCCACAGGTTCAACATGGCTGCCAGCCTGTGTGCCTCTTCCACAGGTTCAACATGGCTGCCAGCCTGTGTGCCTCTCCCACAGGTTCAACATGGCTGCCAGCCTGTGTGCCTCTCCCACAGGTTCAACATGGCTGCCAGCCTGTGTGCCTCTACCACAGGTTCAACATGGCTGCCAGCCTGTGTGCCTCTTCTACAGGTTCAACATGGCTGCCAGCCTGTGTGCCTCTACCACAGGTTCAACATGGCTGCCAGCCTGTGTGCCTCTACCACAGGTTCAACATGGCTGCCAGCCTGTGTGCCTCTACCACAGGTTCAACATGGCTGCCAGCCTGTGTGCCTCTCCCACAGGTTCAACATGGCTGCCAGCCTGTGTGCCTCTTCCACTTACCAAACACACTCAAGAATGGAAACAGTGGACTCAGATAAAGGGGCAATGAATGCCCTACCCTATTGATTTTTTATTGTTTGAACTGCAGATTAACGATAGTACCAGTAGACAGAACAGGGGGTCAGTAAGTTTGTCAAAGCCAACGATAAGCTGCCCTACCTGGCACCAAACAGTACACAGACAGTTACCCAAACAGTTAGCCTCGCAACCTCCCGCTGGTTCCCAATAGGGCAGGGGTGTCAGACAGACAGACACTGGCATAACAATACTTAACAGGCTACAAGGGAAGGTCTATGGCTGTTCTACAGACTAATAACATGTATTTCTAGTCATGGTGAACTATAAGAGAGAGTGGCCCAGAGCTAGCTAAGACTAACCTGCCGCTGAGGGAGATCCAACCTAAATCTGAAAAGCCCCTTCTAATCCAGTTAAGAGAACCTACTGTCCACCCCAACTACTGAATGACTTTCTATTCCAACACATGCCACTGTGGGTCCTCTGTAGCTCAGCTGGTAGAGCACGGCGCTTGTAACGCCAAGGTAGTAAGTTCGATCCCCGGGACCACCCCATACGTAAAAATGTATGCGCACATGACTGTAAGTCGCTTTGGATAAAAGCGTCTGCTAAGTGGCATATTATTATTATTATTATTATTATTATTATTATATCATTATGGAGTTCCTTTCTATTCCAACATGCTGCTGTTATGGAGTTCCTTTCTATTCCAACATGCTGCTGTTATGGAGTTCCTTTCTATTCCAACATGCTGCTGTTATGGAGTTCCTTTCTATTCCAACATGCTGCTGTTATGGAGTTCCTTTCTATTCCAACATGCTGCTGTTATGGAGTTCCTTTCTATTCCAACATGCTGCTGTTATGGAGTTCCTTTCTATTCCAACATGCTGCTGTTATGGAGTTCCTTTCTATTCCAACATGCTGCTGTTATGGAGTTCCTTTCTATTCCAACATGCTGCTGTTATGGAGTTCCTTTCTATTCCAACATGCTGCTGTTATGGAGTTCCTTTCTATTCCAACATGCTGCTGTTATGGAGTTCCTTTCTATTCCAACATGCTGCTGTTATGGAGTTCCTTTCTATTCCAACATGCTGCTGTTATGGAGTTCCTTTCTATTCCAACATGCTGCTGTTATGGAGTTCCTTTCTATTCCACATGCTGCTGTTATGGAGTTCCTTTTGCCCCTTTATTGGAGTTCCTTTCTATTCCAACACATGCTGCTGTTATGGAGCATGATATGGCGGTAACAAGCTTGGTGTTTTTATGTTAAAGGAGCAATCTGAAGTTTGCTAATGAGATTGGATTCTTGGAGGTGTGTATTGTGTAAATACATACGTGTGTGTGTGTTTAAAGCCAATAACAGCAGTGTGTGTGGTCCAACCCCAGATGGAGAGTGTGTTGTGTGTCAGTCAAAGTGTTGGTCTGGGTGATTGACAGGTGACTGACCTCGCTGAAGCACTTCCTGAGAGAGGGCGGGACTTCCCCGTCCACCGCCCGTAGTACGGCCTCCATGTCGTCCCGTGCCGCATAGCCGCCCGACTCACTGGCAAACAGGCTGAAGAGGTCTGTGGTGGGACACACACTGTTGGTTAGTTCATCCTGGCAGGCAGGCTGGTCTTATCAGTGGCAGGCAGCAGGGTCAGCATGGCCTTGGCTCTCTGCTGCCTCACACGCATCAATCCCAAACATCACTCAGAGAGAGATAGCGGGGGGAGAGAGAGAGAGGATGAGAGAGGATGAGGGGGAGAGAGAGGATGAGGGGGAGAGAGCGGATGAGGGGGAGAGAGCGGATGAGGGGGAGAGAGGAGGATGAGAGAGGATGAGGGGGAGAGAGGATGAGAGGGGGAGAGAGAGGATGAGAGGGGGAGAGAGGATGAGAGGGGGAGAGAGAGGGTGAGAGAGGATGAGGGGGAGAGAGGATGAGAGAGGATGAGGGGGAGAGAGGATGAGAGGGGGAGAGAGGATGAGAGGGGGAGAGAGGATGAGGGGGAGAGAGGATGAGGGGGAGAGAGGATGAGAGGGGGAGAGAGGATGAGAGGGGATGAGAGGGGGAGAGAGGATGAGAGGGGGAGAGAGAGGATGAGAGGGGGAGAGAGAGGATGAGAGGGGGGAGAGGGGGGGAGAGAACATACACTTGGCCTTCTCCTCATCTCGTCCTCTGGTCAGCAGCACCAGGCCAATGATGAGGTTGTTAAAGTGCAGTCCTTTAGAGGTGCCTCCAAATGAGTTGTAGATCACCTGCAGAGAGAGTACAGAGAGAGAAAGGGAAGATGGTGTTAACAGATCTAGATAGCTAGAAATATGCCAGTAGACACAGATCCCAGTTGAGGGGCGGCAGAGAGCGTTGGGCCAGTAACAGAAAGGTCGCTGGATCGAATCCCCGAGCCGGCAAGGTGGAAAAATCTGCCGTTCTACCCTTGAGCAAGGCAGTTAACCCCCACCACAACTGCTCCCCGGGCACCGATGAAGTGGATGTCGATCAAGGCAGCCCCTCACACCGCTCTGATTCAGAGGGGTTGGGTTAAATGCAGAAGACACATTTCAGTTGAACGCATTCAGTTGTACAACTGACGAGGTATCCCCCTTTACATTTTCCTTCCTTTCCAAATAGTTCCCTACATCAGGGATCATCAACTAGAGTCAGCCGCTGGCCGATTGTTTTCTTGAACGGATGGTCAGGAACATAATTACAAATAAATGTGTATACTACAAATAGACCGCAAGAAGCAGAAATAATATTTGACTAAAACAATCATTTCAAACCTTGCTTACAAACAAACCTTGTATATGATCACATGTATCTCTATTATGCATGGGAATACTTTAGAACAGATTCCCAAAATTCAAATCACTTGGAGCTGATTTTCTGGTATTTCTACAGTCTTTTATGTGCAACAATAAACATTTATATATACACAGTACCAGTCAAGTTTGGACACACCTACTCATTGAAGGGTTTTTCTTTATTTGTACTATTTTCTACAATGCAAAATAATAGTGAAGACATCAAAACTATGAAATAGCACATATGGAATCATGTAGTAACCAAAAAAGTGTAAAACAAATCAAAACATATTTTATATTTGAGATTCTTCAAAGTAGCCACCCTTTGCCTTGATGACAGCTTTGCGCACTCTTGGCATTCTCTCAACTAGCTTCATGAGGTAGTCACCTGGAATGCATTTCAATTAACAGGTGTGTATTAATGCATTTGAGCCAATCAGTTGTGTTGTGACAAGGTAGGGGGGTATACAGAAGATAGCCCTATTTGGTAAAAGACCAAGTCCATATTATGGCAAGAACAGCTCAAATAAGCAAAGAGAAACGACAGTCCATCATTACTTTAAGGCATGAAGGTCAGTCAATACGGAACATTTCAAGAACTTTTAAAGTTTCTTAAAGTACAGTTGCAAAAACCATCAGGCGCTATGATGAAACTGGCTCTCATGAGGACCGCCACAGGAAAGGAAGACCCAGAGTTACCTCTGCTGCAGAGGATAAGTTCATTAGAGTTACCAGCCTCAGAAATTGCAGCCCAAATAAATGCTTCACAGAGTTCATGTAACAGACACATCTCAACATCAACTGTTCAGAGGAGACTGAGTGAATCAGGCCTTCATGGTCGAATTGCTGCAAAGAAACCACTACTAAAGAACACCAATAAGAAGAAGAGACCTGCTTGGGCCAAGAAACACGAGCATTGGACATTACACCAGTGGAAATTTGTTCTTTGGTCTGGAGTCTAAATTGGAGATTTTTGTGAGACGCGGTGTGGATGAACGGATGATCTCTGCATGTGTAGTTCCCACCGTAAAGCATGGAGGTGGTGGTGTTATGGTGTGGGGGTGCTTTGCTGATGACACCGTCTGTGATTTACAGACATCAAGGCCTGTAACATACTTTGTTTCACGGAAACATGGCTCTCTTGGGATATTCTGTCGGAATCGGTCCAGCCAGATGGGTTCTCAGTTCATCGCGCAGACAGGAATAAATATCTCTCCGGGAAGCAGAAGGGCGGAGGTGGGGGTTTCATGATTAATGACTCATGGTGTAATTGTAGTAACATAGAGGAACTTGAGTCCTTCTGTTCACCCGACCTAGAATATCTCACAATCAAATGCCGACCATATTATCTCCCAAGAGAATTTTCTTTGGTTATAGTCACGGCCGTGTATATCCCCCCTCAAGCCGATACCACGACGGCCCTCAAAGAACTTCACTGGACCTTATGCAAACTGGAAACCTCATATCCTGAGGCTGCATTTATTGTTGCCGGGGATTTTAACAAAGCAAATTTGAGGACTAGGCTGCAGAAATTCTATCAACATATCGACTGTTGTACTCGCGCTGCCAAGATCCTCGACCATTGTTATTCGAACTTCCGGGATGGTTATAAGGCCCTCCCCCGCCCTCCTTTCGGCAAATCTGACCACGACTCCATTTTGCTTCTCCCTTCCTATAGGCAGAAACTCAAACAGGAAGTACCCGTGCTAAGGACTATTCAACGCTGGTCTGACCAATCGGAATCCACGCTTCAAGATTGTTTTGATCACGCGGACTGGGATTTGTTCCGGGTAGCTTCCGAAAATAATTTAGACATATACACTGAAACAGTGACTGGGTTTATCAAGAAGTGTATAGGTGATGTTGTGCCCACTGTGACTATTAAAACCTACCCAAACCAGAAACCGTGGATAGATGGCAGCATTCGCGCAAATCTGAAAGCGCGAACCACCGCATTCAACCATGGCAAGGTGACTGGGAATATGGCAGAATACAAACAGTGTAGCTACTCACTCCGCAAGCAATTAAACTGGCAAAACATCAGTATGGAGACAAAGTGGAGTCGCAATTCAACGGCTCAGACACGAGACGTATGTGGCAGGATCTACAGACAATCACGGACTACAAAAGGAAAACCAGCCACGTTGCCGACGCCGACATCTCGCTTCCAGACAAGCTAAACACCTTCTTTGCCCGCTTTGAGGATAACACAGTGCCACTGACGAGGCACACTACCAAGGACTGTGGCCTCTCCTTCTCAATGGCTGACGTGATTAAGAAATTTAAGCATGTTAACCCCCGCAAGGCTGCCTGCCCAGACGGCATCCCTAGCCGTGTCCTCAGAGCATGCGCAGACCAGCTAGCTGGTGTGTTTATGGACATATTCAATCTCTCCCTTTCCCAGTCTGCTGTTCCCACATGCTTCAAGATGGCCACCATTATTCCTGTACCCAAGAAAGCAAAGGTAACTGAACTAAATGACTATCGCCCTGTAGCACTCACCTCTGTCATCATGAAGTGCTTTGAGAGACTAGTCAAAGATCATATCACCTCTACCTTACCTGTCACCATAGACCCACTTCAATTTGCTTACCGACCCAATAGATCCACAGACGATGCAATCGCCATCACACTGCACACTGCCCTATCCCATCTGGACAAAAGGAATACCTATGTAAGAATGCTGTTCATTGACTATAGTTCAGCATTCAACACCATAGTACCCTCCAAGCTCATCATTAAGCTCGAGGCCCTGGGTCTGAACCCCGCCCTGTGCAACTGGGTCCTGGACTTCCTGACGGGCCGCCCCCAGGTGGTGAAGGTAGGAAACAACATCTCCACTTTGCTGATCCTCAACACTGTGGCCCCACAAGGGTGCGTGCTCAGCCCCCTCCTGTACTCCCTGTTCACCCATGACTGCGTGGCCAAGCACGCCTCCAACTCAATCATCAAGTTTGCAGACGACACAACAGTAGTAGGCTTGATTACCAACAATGACGAGACCGCCTACAGGGAGGAGGTGAGGGCTCTGGGAGTGTGGTGCCAGGAAAATAACCTCTCACTCAACATCAACAAAACAAAACAAAGGAGATGATCATGGGCTTCAGGAAACAGCAGAGGGTGCACCACACCTATCCACATCGACGGGACCGCAGTGGAGAAAGTGGAAAGCTTCAAGTTCCTTGGCGTACACATCACCGACAAACTGAAATGGTCCACCCACACAGACAGTGTGGTGAAGAAAGCGCAACAGAGCCTCTTCAACCTCAGGAGGCTGAAGAAATTCGGCTTAGCACGTAAAACCCTCACAAACTTTTACAGATGCACAATTGAGAGCATCCTGTCGGGCTGTATCACCACCTTGTACGGCAACTGCACCGCCCACAACCGCAAGGCTCTCCAGAGGGTGGTATGGTCTGCCGAACGCATTACCGTGGGCAAACTACCCGCCCTCCAAGACACATACAGCACCAGATGTCACAGGAAGGCCAAAAAGATCATCAAGGACATCAACCACCCGAGCCACTGCCTGTTCACCCCGCTATCATTCAGAAGGCGAGGTCAATACAAAACAGCTTCTATCTCAAGGCCATCAGACTGTTAAATAGCCTTCACTAGCACATTCACTGGCCACTTTAAGAAATGGAACACTAGTCACTTTAATAATGTTATAATGTTTACATATCTTGGACTACTCATCTCATATGTATATACTGTATTCTATAATATTCTACTGTATCTTAGTCCATGCCGCTCTGTCAAATCTTGTCCATATATGTATATATTTTTAAATCCCATTCCTTACTAGTTTTGTGTGTTTTGGGTATATGTTGTGAAATTGTTAGATATTACTTGTTAGATATTACTGCACTGTCGGAGCTAGAAGCACAAGCATTTCACTACACCCGCTATAACATCTGCTAAACACGTGTATGTGACAAATAACATTTGATTTGATTTGATTTAGAATTCAAGGCACACTTAACCAGCATGGCTACCACAGCATTCTGCAGCGATACGCCATCCCATCTCGTTTGGGCTTAGTGGGACTATCATTTGTTTTTCAACAGGACAATGACCCAACACACCTCCAGGCTGTGTAAGGGCTATTTTGCCAAGAAGGAGAGTGATGGAGAGCTGCATCAGATGACCTGGCCTCCACAATTCCCTGACCTCAACCCAATTGAGATGATTTGGGATGAGTCGGATCACAGAGTGAAGGAAAAGCAGCCAACAAGTGCTCAGCATTTTAAACATTTACATTTTAGTCATTTAGCAGACGCTCTTATCCAGAGCGACTTACAGTTAGTGAGTGCATACATTTTCATACTGGCCCCCCGTGGGAAACGAACCCACAACCCTGGCGTTGCAAGCGCCATGCTCTACCAACTGAGCTACAGGGGACTGCATATGTGGGAACTCCTTCAAGACTGTTGGAAAAGCATTCCAGGTGAAGCTGGTTGAGAGAATGCCAAGAGTGTGCAAAGCTGTCATCAAGGCAAAGGGTGGCTATTTGAAGAATCTCAAATATAAAATATATTTAGATTTGTTTAACACTTTTTTTGGTTACTACATGATTCCATGTGTGTTATTTCATAGTTTTGATGTCTTCACTATTATTTCTACAATGTAGAATATAGTAAAAAAAAAAAAAAAAAAAAACCTTGAATGAGTATACATATAATTTATTTTAAGTGCTCCGAAAACTTGGGGGCCAAATAAAATCACCCACGTGCCAAATTCAGCTTGTGGGTGGCCAGTTGGAGAACCCCGTCCTACATAGTCCCCTCCTTTTCACCAGAGCCCTATGGACCAGTGGTAGTGCTCTTTCCATGACAGACTGAGCAGGGGAATCCAGGTGAAAGCTATGATCCCTTATTGATGTCACATGTTAACTGTTTTAGGATGGTCATACCACGGATCATTTAGCAATTTGATTTAGAATTTTAGGACCCCTTTAGGTATATATACAAAAAATACAAAGAATTTGATAAAGTTTAGAATTTGGCCTTTACTACTGTAGCCCATAGAAACGCATTGAATTACATTCATAAATGGCAAAAAAGACAGTCAAAAAATTTATCATAAGGAATAATGTTTTGAAGTGTGTCCTGTATCTAGGAGATAAAAGAAAGATCAGGAAATATTTGTGTTTTTGGACAAAAATGTAACGCCTTTTTTTTTTTGCCACAAAACTACCTCCATACTTCCATTCATTTGTATGGGTTACCATCAGACGAGTCCCGTGACACTTGTGGGGGTCGTGTTCGTGAGGGTCCCCCCCTTTCCCTTGCCTGATGATAGCAACCGCCCACCTCTTCCACATAAGTGACATTGGTACATTGTGTGTGTGTGTGTGTGTGTGTGTGTGTTGTGTCGTCTGTGGAGTGTGTGACTTGGGAGTCGTCCCTTTCGCCAGCACTTGCAGTGCCTCCTGGCTGCCTGGGGTGTGCTGGAGAGCCTGATGAGAGGTGACTGTACAGCTGCATCCCAAATGGCACCCTATTCCCTACATAGTGCACTACTTTTGACCAGGCTCTGATCAACAGTAGTGCACTATGAAGTGATTAGGGTGCCAATTGGGAGATGGCAGTCACAGTGGCTGTGTCGTTGTGTCAGGTACAAACAGAAGCACCATATTTGCACTTTTGAGAGGCGTCGCCCGGTTATATGATTGCCCTTCAAATCTGTGTCAACATAACACTTTAATACTGTCATATTACATTTTACATTTTAGTCATTTAGCAGACGCTCTTATCCAGAGCGACTTTACAGTTAGTGAGTGCATACATTTTCATACTGGCCCCCCGTGGGAAACGAACCCACAACCCTGGCGTTGCAAGCGCCATGCTCTACCAACTGAGCTACAGGGGACTATAAACCATTTATGGTTTTAAATTACCATTCCTTATTCCTTTGCATACCATGTGTAATGCATGAGTATTTGGATACTTATTAAAAGCCTGTATATTTAGACCTAATGCTTTATATTAGGGCTTACTCTGCTTGCCCTGAAGCTTGCCCTGAAGCTTGCCCTGAAACAACATATTCTATATATGCGCATCTTAAGCTTTCTTAGGAACCAGGTCATGAGCACAAATATTGGAAGGACAAAACGACTATTAACAGAATGATGTTTCTACTTCGCAGTGTTTTTCCCCAAAAAAACAATAAAAAATAAAAGGGGGGGAGAAGGGGCGCAAAGGCCCAAAAAAGCAATTTTATCTTTAAATTTTAAAAAAAGGGGGAAAATTTTAAAAAAACCCCTTTTGGGGGTTTTTTTTTTTTTGTGTTGGGTTTTTTAAAACTTTGGGGGGGGGTTTTTTGGGGGGGCCCCCCCCCCCCTTTTTCCCCCCCCCCCTTTTCCCAAAAAGGCCGGGAAGGGGGGGGGTTTTTTCCCCCCCTTTTTTTGGGGGGGGGGCCCCTTTCCCCCCTTTTTTTTGGGTGGGTTTGGGGGGGGGGGTTTTCCCGGTCCCCCCGGCCCCAATTTTCCCCCGGGAATTTTTTTTCCCCCCCCCCTTTTAAAAAAAAAAATTTTTTTTTTTTTGGGGAAAACCCCGGGTTTTTTTTTTAAAAACCCCCCCCAAAAAAAAAAAAATTTTTTTTTTACCCGGGGGGGCCCCCTTTTGGTTTTTTCATTTTTTTTCATTTTTTTGGGGGGGCGAAAAAACCCCGGGGGGGCCTCTTTTAAAATTTTTGGGGTTTTTTTTTTTTTTCCCCCCCTTTTCCCCCTTTTTTAAAAATTTTTTCCCCAAAAAAAAAAACCTTTTGGGAAATTTTTGGGGGAAAAAAAAGGGGGGGGGTTTCCCAAAATTGGAAAACCCCTTTTTTTCCCCAAAAAATTTTTAAAAAGGGGGGGGGGGAAAAAAAGGGGGAAAAAAGGGAAAAAAAAGGAGGTTTCTAAAGGGGGGGGAAAAAAAAAAAAAAAAAAAAAGGGGGGGGGGAAAGGGAAAAAAAAAAATTTTGGGGAACCCCAACCCAAATAATTTTTTTCTTGGGTTTTCCCCGGGGCCCCCCCCTTTTTTTCCCAAAAAGGGGAAAAAAAGGGGGGGGGCCCTTTTTTTAAATTTTTTTAAAAAAAAACCCCCCCAAAAAAAATTTTTAAAAAAAACCCGGGTTTTTTTTCCCCCCCTTTTAAAAAAAAAAAAGGGAAAAGGGGGCCCCCCCCCCCCAAAAAAAAAAACAAAAGGGAAAAATTTTAAACCCCCCAAAGGGAAAATTTTTTTTAAAAAAAAAAAAAAGGGGCCCCCAAAAAAAAAACCCTTTTTAAAAAACCAAAAACCCCCCTTTTTTTTTCTAATTATAAAAAAAGGGGGGGCCCCCCCAAAAAGGGTTTTAAAATTTTTAAAAAATTTTTTGGGCCCCCCAAAAAAATTTTTTTGGGCCCCAAAAAAGGGTTTTTAAAATTTTTTTTAAAAAAAAAGGGGGGGGGAAAAAAGAAAGGGGGGGGGGAAAAAAAAAAAAAACCCCCCCCTTTAAAATTACTTCCCCCCCCCTTTTTTTTCTAAAATTTTAACCCCAAAATTCAAAACCCCCCTAAAACCAAAAAAAGGGGGGCCCCCCCCCTTTTTTTTTTAAATTAAAAACCCCCAAACCCCCCCGGGGGGGGCCCAAAAAAAAATTTTTAAAAAAAACCGCCCGGGAAAAAATTTGGGCCCCAAAAAATTTCCCCTTTTTTTGGGGGGTTTTTTAAAAAAAATTTTTTTTTTATTTTTTGGGGGGAAAGGGGGGAAAAACCCCCAAAATCCCCCCCCCAAAAAAAGGGGTTTTGGGGGGGGGGGGAAATTTAAAGGGGGTTTTTTTTTTTATTTTAATTTTTTTTTTTTTTTTTTGGGTTTTGGGGGGAAAAAAAAAATTTTTTTGGGTTTTGCCAAATTTTTGGGGGGGGGGGTTTGGGGGGGTTTTTTGGGGGTTTTTCCCGGGGGGCCCCCCTTTTGGGGAATTTTTTGGGGGGGGGGGAAAATTTAAAACCCAAACCCAGACTTGGGGGAAAAAAAAATTTTTTTAAAAGTTTTTTTTTAATTTAAAAAAAATTTTTCCCCCTTGGGTTAATTTGGGCCCCCCCAAAAAAAAAACCCCCCCAAAAGGGGAAAAAAATTTTTCCTTTTTTTTTTCCCAAAGGGGGGGGTTTGGGGGGTTTTTTCCCCCAAAAAAATTTTGGGGTTTTTTGGGGGGAAAAATTTTCCCCCCCCTTTTTCCCCCCCTTTCCCCCCCCAAAAAAATTTTGGGGAATTTTTTTGGGGGTTAGGAAACAATTTTTAGTTTTTTTAAAAAAATTTGGGGAAGGGGGGCCCCCCCCCAAATGCCTTCCCCCCGGCCCCCCCGGGTTTAAGCGCGTCTGCTAAATGACTAAAATGTAAATGTAAAAAATAAACGGGATTGCCGAGTGCTGAAGCGCGTAGAAATCATCTGCCCTTAGTTGCAACACTCACTACCGACTTCCAAACTGCCTCTGCAAGCAACGTCAGCACAATAACTGTTAGTCGGGAGCTTCATGAAATGGGTTTCCATGGCCGAGCGGCCGCACACAAGCCTAAGATCACCATGCGCAATGCCAAGCGTCGGCTGGAGTGGTATAAAGCTCGCCGCCATTGGACTCTGGAGCAGTGGAAACGCGTTCTCTGGAGTGATGAATCACGCTTCACCATCTGGAAGTCTGACGGACGAATCTGGGTTTGGCGGATGCCAAGAGAAAGCAACCTGCCCCAATGCATAGTGCCAACTGTAAAGTTTGGTAGTGGAGGAGGAATAATGGTCTGGGGCTGTTTTTCATGGTTCGGGCTAGGCCCCTTAGTTCCAGTGAAGGGAAATCTTAACACTACAGCATATACACTGCTCAAAAAAATAAAGGGAACACTAAAATAACACATCCTAGATCTGAATGAATGAAATAATCGTATTAAATACTTTTTTCTTTACATAGTTGAATGTGCTGACAACAAAATCACACACAAATTATCAATGGAAATCAAATGTATCAACCCATCGAGGTCTGGATTTGGAGTCACCCTCAAAATTAAAGTGGAAAACCACACTACAGGCTGATCCAACTTTGATGTAATGTCCTTAAAACAAGTCAAAATGAGGCTCAGTAGTGTGTGTGGCCTCCACGTGCCTGTATGACCTCCCTACAACGCCTGGGCATGCTCCTGATGAGGTGGCGGATGGTCTCCTGAGGGATCTCCTCCCAGACCTGGACTAAAGCATCCGCCAACTCCTGGACAGTCTGTGGTGCAACGTGGCGTTGGTGGATGGAGCGAGACATGATGTCCCAGATGTGCTCAATTGGATTCAGGTCTGGGGAACGGGCGGGCCAGTCCATAGCATCAATGCCTTCCTCTTGCAGGAACTGCTGACACACTCCAGCCACATGAGGTCTAGCATTGTCTTGCATTAGGAGGAACCCAGGGCCAACCGCACCAGCATATGGTCTCACAAGGGGTCTGAGGATTTCATCTCGGTACCTAATGGCAGTCAGGCTACCTCTGGCGAGCACATGGAGGTCTGTGCGGCCCCCCAAAGAAATGCCACCCCACACCATGACTGACCCACCGCCAAACCGGCCATGCTGGAAGATGTTGCAGGCAGCAGAACGTTCTCCACGGCGTCTCCAGACTCTGTCACATGTGCTCAGTGTGAACCTGCTTTCATCTGTGAAGAGCACAGGGCGCCAGTGGCGAATTTGCCAATCTTGGTGTTCTCTGGCAAATGCCAAACGTCCTGCACGGTGTTGGGCTGTAAGCACAACCCCCACCTGTGGACGTCGGGCCCTCATACCACCCTCATGGAGTCTGTTTCTGACCATTTGAGCAGACACATGCACATTTGTGGCCTGCTGGAGGTCATTTTGCAGGGCTCTGGCAGTGCTCCTCCTGCTCCTCCTTGCACAAAGGCGGAGGTAGCAGTCCTGCTGCTGGGTTGTTGCCCTCCTACGGCCTCCTCCACGTCTCCTGATGTACTGGCCTGTCTCCTGGTAGCGCCTCCATGCTCTGGACACTACGCTGACAGACACAGCAAACCTTCTTGCCACAGCTCGCATTGATGTGCCATCCTGGATGAGCTGCACTACCTGAGCCACTTGTGTGGATTGTAGACTCCGTCTCATGCTACCACTAGAGTGAAAGCACCGCCAGCATTCAAAAGTGACCAAAACATCCGCCAGGAAGCATAGGAACTGAGAAGTGGTCTGTGGTCACCACCTGCAAAACCAGTCCTTTATTGGGGGTGTCTTGCTAATTGCCTATAATTTCCACCTGTTGTCTATTCCATTTGCACAACAGCATGTGAAATGTATTGTCAATCAGTGTTGCTTCTAAGTGGACAGTTTTGATTTCTCATTGTGTTGTTTAAGTGTTCCCTTTATGTTTTTGAGCAGTGTAATTACATTCTAGACAATTCTGTGCTTCCAACTTTGTGGCAACAGTTTGGGGAAGGCCCTTTCCTGTTTCAGCATGACAATACCCTGACCTCAACCCAATCGAACAACTTTGGGATGAATTGGAAAGCCGACTGCGAGCCAGGCCTAATCGCCCACAATCAGTGCCCGACCTCACTAATGCTCGTGGCTGAATCGAAGCAAGTCCCTGCAGCAATGTTCCAACATCTAGTGGAAAGCCTTCCCAGAAGAGTGGAGGCTGTTATAGCAGCAAAGAGGGGACCAACTCCATATTAATGCCCATGATTTTGGAATGAGATGTTCGATGAGCAGGTGTCCACATACTTTTGGTCATGTAGTGTTCATAGGCTTCCTTCATCAGTGTATTGATAATTCATGGATTCACATCATCATTAACAGAACAAAGAGACTCCAGGGAAAATATGACCAAATAACAACGAGGCATGGTGTGAACCTGATGATGATGATGTCTATGGTACACATGTATAGTTTAGACTCCTGATATTCAGTGACGGCGTGGCCCCTAGGACGGCCCTGTGGTCCCACTAATCACAGTGACGGAGTGGCCCCTAGGACGGCCCTGTGGTCCCACTAATCACAGTGACGGAGTGGCCCCTAGGACGGCCCTGTGGTCCCACTAATCACAGTGACGGAGTGGCCCCTAGGAGGGGCCTGCTGTCAGGCCTAGTGATGGACACAGCCTGGGGGTCTCCTACTGCCACTGGCCCTAGAGTCGGTTGCCTTCTGACTGCTGCCTTCTGAGCCCAAACACCACCACTACACTCCTTAGTTACACTTTCAACACACAGCACACACACACACACACGCATCGCCTTTTTGAGAAGCTAGATATATGTTCCACTTTCTCTGACTCACAAGTTGTGAGAAACAAGCATCTAAAAATAAAACCAGCGACGGACGTGGCTGCAGCTCCACTCAGTATAGCAGCAGCCCTTCCCCTGAATCTCTCAGTCTACCACCATGTACAGCTGAGAGGCGGCGCTGTGAATCTGACTCGCTGCCTTCTCGCTGGTAAAAGTCTTAATATAATAAATGTCTGCCTTCCTGAACACTAGATCCCTGTGGGTCCTGGTCAAAAGTAGTGCACTATAAAAAGGGACTGGGGGTGTCATTTGGGACGCCGATTGTTCCTGTAGACTCTGCTGGCAAGACATTAAGCTTTAATGTCCTCCTATAGTAAAGATGCAGAATCTCCTGCTAGCCTATTGATTAAGAATCAAGCTGAAGTGCTCTTTTCAATCCAAATCATTACCCAGGTTTCCTGGGATAGCACAATCCCTCCCGGTTGATAGCTCTGCTGTAGCCGGCCGCAACCGGGAGACAAATGGGGCGGCGCACAATTGGCCCAGCGTCGTCCAGGGTAGGGGAGGGAATGGCCGGCAGGGAGGTAGCTCAGTTGGTAGAGCATGGCGTTTGCAACGCCAGGGTTGTGGGTTCGATTCCCACGGGGGGCCAGTATGAAAATAAAAAAGAATAATGTATGCCAGGGTTCTTCAATTCCGGTCCTGGAGGGCCGAAACACTTCTGTTTTTTATTTATACCTGGTAGTTAATTGCACTCACCTGGTGTCCCAGGTCTGAATTAGCCCCTGATTAGAAGGAGAGAATGAAAAACAGAGGTGTTTCGGCCCTCCAGGACCGGAATTGAAGAACCCTGATGTATGCACTCACTAACTGTAAGTCGCTCTGGATAAGAGCGTCTGCTAAATGACTAAAATGTAATGTTGGAATTAACATGTGGACAAAAAAAGTTGTATTTTTATACTTTTAACTTTGGTTTCTTGTTGCTGAGTGTGTTGATCCAAACATGCGTATTGCTGATCGAAATGTATTTTTCCCTTGACTTACCTAAACAAATAACTGGATTGCGGTTTTGATTGAATATCGCCAAGACTGTTTCAATGGAATGCCACTTCCAAGCCCCAACATGCTGACTACACTGGGGGCGTGCCGTCGCGCGCATGTTGATTTTATCCATCCACACTAGACGTGATCAGGACACGCAGGTTGAAATATCAAAACCAACTCTGAACTGACTATAATAATTTGGGGACAGGTCGAAACACATGAAACATTCATTGCCGTTTAGCTAGCTAGCTTGCTGTTGCTAGCTAATTTGTCCTGGGATACAAACATTGGGTTGTTATTTTACCTGAAATGCACAAGGTCCTTTTTTTCTGGATCTTTGTAGAATCTGGTCCCATTTTGAGTCACACAAAATCTTGTGTTCTCTACTCCGACAATTAATCCACAGATAAAAGGGGAAACCTTGTTAGTTTCTAGTAATAATAATAATAATAATAATAATAATAAGCCATTTAGCAGACGCTTTTATCCAAAGCGACTTACAGTCATGCGTGCATACATTTTTTTTTTGTTTGTGTATGGGTGGTCCCGGGGATCGAACCCACTACCCTGGCGTTACAAGCGCCATGCTCTACCAGCTGAGTTACCAGCTGAGCCACCTTCAGTCTTCTTCTGTGGACTTTATATGGCGGTTGGCAACCAACTTTAAGGTGCATTACCACCACCAACTGGACTGGAGTGTGGACCTCAGTTCATCTTTCGATCACCCACGTAGGTATATGCTCCTAAAAACCAATGAGGAGATGGGAGAGGCGGGACTTGAGGCGAGTCAAGTGTAAAAAATAGAACCCATTTCTATTTTAGCGCCTGGCTACGCAGACGCTCGTTGACGCGCGCGAACAGTTTGGATGAAATTATAGAATAACATTTGTACATTTATTTAGCAATGCTCATGCGCGTAACGTGAGCGGTGTGGTCAGCAGGTAAGGGCTGGGTTTTTACAATGGCCAAGCATTTTTTCAATTCCTCAAACAATGTCAACTGCAGAATAGGCCTACGTCAATCCCCTTGACGACTCAGTCACTGCCTTTGACACACACAGTACAAACAAACACACAGAACTAGTGTTTATTCACTGATAAAGTCAGTCAGGTGGCATTTGTGTGTGTGTGTGTGTGTGTGTGTGTGTGTGTGTGTGTGTGTGTAATTGGGAATAGGCATTTGACAGTATGGCTAACTTCCTTCTGCCTAACTGGACAGAGACCAGAGCAAAAAGATAGCCTCTGATGGGAAAGTGGAAATAGAAATGTTGAACAACCAACTGGGGAAAAACATTAAACCAGCTAGCTACTGTATAGAACAGGGAACTGGAGAGTCACTGGGGCCAACCTAAGAACACAGCTATAATGGGTGAGTCTCAAATGGCACTCTATCAAAGGTAGTGCACTACATAGGGAATACGGTGCCATTCTCTGGTCTAAAGTAGTGCACTACATAGGGAATACGGTGCCATTCTCTGGTCTAAAGTAGTGCACTACATAGGGAATACGGTGCCATTCTCTGGTCTAAAGTAGTGCATTACATAGGGAATACGGTGCCATTCTCTGGTCTAAAGTAGTGCACTACATAGGGAATACGGTGCCATTCTCTGGTCTAAAGCAGTGCACTACATAGGGAATACGGTGCCATTCTCTGGTCTAAAGCAGTGCACTACATAGGGAATACGGTGCCATTCTCTGGTCTAAAGTAGTGCACTACATAGGGAATACGGTGCCATTCTCTGGTCTAAAGCAGTGCACTACATAGGGAATACGGTGCCATTCTCTGGTCTAAAGTAGTGCACTACATAGGGAATACGGTGCCATTCTCTGGTCTAAAGTAGTGCACTACATAGGGAATAGGGTGCCATTCTCTGGTCTAAAGTAGTGCACTACATAGGGAATACGGTGCCATTCTCTGGTCTAAAGTAGTGCACTACATAGGGAATACGGTGCCATTTGAGATGCAAAAAATGACTGAGGGTCAATCTCAATAGGCTGAAAGCATGTCCACTCCGGGTTGAAGTAGCCTCAAGGAATGGATCTAGGACCCAATGTCATCTAATGTCATCTAATGTCAATCTAATGTTATGTCCTGTCATCTCATGCCAATGTAACGTCCTGTCATCTCATGCCAATGTAACGTCCTGTCATCTCATGCCAATGTAACGTCCTGTCATCTCATGCCAATGTAACGTCCTGTCATCTCATGCCAATGTAACGTCCTGTCATCTCATGCCAATGTAACGTCCTGTCATCTCATGCCAATGTAACGTCCTGTCATCTCATGCCAATGTAACGTCCTGTCATCTCATGCCAATGTAACGTCCTGTCATCTCATGCCAATGTAACGTCATGCAGATGCTTGTGAAGTAAAACAGGGGACATTTTGAAGCCCATGTCTAAGGGATATGCTCTGTAGTTCTAATGAGCTAAATCACTAGGCCTAGGTCTGTTTTCTCCCAAGAACCTCATTATCTAAAAACATTTTTCATTCAAATAAGGGATGGATTCATCTGGACTATAGGGGTGGGGAGGTGAAAGGATTCATCTGGACTATAGGGGTGAGAGGATTCATCTGGACTATAGGGGTGGGGAGGTGAGAGGGACAGTCATATCCCAATTTCCTATCAGGTTTTGTCTGAAATGTGTGTGTGTGTTGTGGGTCCCAGGGGACGTACCTCTGCAACCTTCGGAGGGACCCCATCTCCCAGTACCTCTCTGTAGAAGCACTGTTGGGCCATGTAGTAGGACAGGCCGCTGGTCCTCTTAAAGGCATCCTTCAGCCGCTTCAACTCCACATCAGTTACTACAGAGAGAAGGGGGGAGAGGGAAGGAGAGCGAGAGAGAGCGAGAGAGAGAGAGAGAGCGAGAGAGCGAGAGAGCGGCAGAGGAAGAGACGATGAGATACATTTAATAGGGTTCATTAACATCAGGTTAAAGACTAAGGTGTCCTAACATCAGGTTAAAGACTAAGGTGTCCTAACATCAGGTTAAAGACTAAGGTGTCCTAACATCAGGTTAAAGACTAAGGTGTCCTAACATCAGGTTGAAGACTAAGGTGTCCTAACATCAGGTTAAAGACTAAGGTGTCCTAACATCAGGTTAAAGACTAAGGTGTCCTAACATCAGGTTAAAGACTAAGGTGTCCTAACATCAGGTTAAAGACTAAGGTGTCCTAACATCAGGTTAAAGACTAAGGTGTCCTAACATCAGGTTAAAGACTAAGGTGTCCTAACATCAGGTTAAAGACTAAGGTGTCCTAACATCAGGTTAAAGACTAAGGTGTCCTAACATCAGGTTAAAGACTAAGGTGTCCTAACATCAGGTTAAAGACTAAGGTGTCCTAACATCAGGTTAAAGACTAAGGTGTCCTAACATCAGGTTAAAGACTAAGAGAATTTGGGGACAATAAGCTGATCCTATGTGTCGCATCCCAAATAGTTCCCTATTTCCTAGTGCACTACTGTTAACCAGAGCCCTAGGGAATAGGGTGCCAACTAACTAACAACTAGGCCACATCCTATCCTCTGCTATGGCGAGAAGGCAGGTTTCACTTTGACTGGTGAAAGTGATTAACATTACATTTTAGTCATTTAGCAGACGCTCTTATCCAGAGCGACTTACAGTTAGTGAATACATATTTTTTTATACTGGCCCCCCCGTGGGAAACGAACCCACAACCCTGGCGTTGCAAACGCCATGCTCTATCAACTGAGCTACATCCCTGCCGGCCATTCCCTCCCCTACCCTGGACGACGCTGGGCCAATTGTGCGCCGCCCATGAGTCTCCCAGTCGCGGCCGGCTGTGAAGGTGATTAACATGTGAAGGTGATTAACATGTGAAGGTGATTAACATGTGAAGGTGATTAACATGTGAAGGTGATTAACATGTGAAGGTGCCAGCTGAAGAAAGGATGCACACAAGATATTCAGCCACTTGGAGTAGAACGAAATGAAACATCAATAGAAATGAAACTTTATCTTTAAAAAACGTGTTTCAGTGTGAAAGCCCACAGCAGGGGTTGTTTCAGTGTGAAAGCCCACACCAGGGTTTGTTTCAGTTTGAAAGCCCACACCAGGGTTTGTTTCAGTGTGAAAGCCCACACCAGGGTTTGTTTCAGTGTGAAAGCCCACACCTGGGTTGTTTCAGTGTGAAAGCCCACACCAGGGTTTGTTTCAGTGTGAAAGCCCACACCTGGGTTGTTTCAGTGTGAAAGCCCACACCAGGGTTTGTTTCAGTGTGAAAGCCCACACCTGGGTTGTTTCAGTTTGAAAGCCCACACCAGGGTTTGTTTCAGTGTGAAAGCCCACACCTGGGTTGTTTCAGTGTGAAAGCCCACACCAGGGTTTGTTTCAGTGTGAAAGCCCACACCTGGGTTGTTTCAGTGTGAAAGCCCACACCTGGGTTGTTTCAGTGTGAAAGCCCACACCAGGGTTTGTTTCAGTGTGAAAGCCCACACCTGGGTTGTTTCAGTGTGAAAGCCCACACCTGGGTTGTTTCAGTGTGAAAGCCCACACCAGGGGTTGTTTCAGTGTGAAAGCCCACACCTGGGTTGCTTCGTCAGCCATTTGGAGCTAGGCTACTCACCATTCAGAACTCCCTCCCTCAGCTGTCAATCTGTTAGGCCACTGCCTTCATTTAAAAGGCTAATAACAGGTGTTACCATGGGATGTGTGGATCTCTCCCTCTCTCTCAGGGGTCAATTAAACAAAACAAAAAAATGGCTTGCTTGCTAGCTCGGGGTTACAGCGGGGAATTGAAATACAGGAATAATTTCGCCGACTGGATGGAAAAACAAAAACGAATAAAAAAAGCAACAGCCTCAAAGTCAAAGGGATGTTTATAAATCTGGGACTGGAAGGAGGAAAAGCGTGTCGCTCATATTAAAATGGGTGGATGTGTGAGTGTGACCCAGTGTTGCAGCATGGTAGGAATACTGGCTGGGTAATTCTGTTCTTGTAGGTTGAAATGCTAATAGAAAAGTCAGTAGGTAGAGAGAACCATAATGTGTAAGACATTGTCCTGAATACATCATGGTCTAACCTATACTAAATGCATGGTGATGGGAGACCGGTAGTACTGCAGGCTGTGTTTGTCTTCTCCTGTGCTGACAAGTGATGACAGTATAATCCAAGCCTACCGTTCACAGCCGAGAATTTCAACGGTGTAAGAAACCTACAAATAACGCGTGGTGGAAAACCATTTGAACTGGTTTGAAGAGCACACAGAGAGCGAGCCTCTTGACATTACAGCACTTTGAAATGACAGCCGCTTGAAAATCAATTGGCTGCTTCAGCCTTCAACATGCCCTCAATTACGCCAGCTTTGTCTCTGAAACTGGAAGGATAGACAACTTCAGAGGAAAGGGGTGGATCTCGGGGTTGTTTGGGATTCTACCGTGCTGCTCTAGCATTCTACAAGCAACCGTGTTCCAAACACTATCATCTTGAATTCTGAGAGGAGGAACTTCCTCTATACAAACCTAGGAAGATAAATGCTAAATGCTCATTCAGGTTGCTGCTAGTGGCACCTGGCTCTGTGTGTGTGTGTGTGTGTGTGTGTGTGAGTGAGCGATAAATAACAATGGATCCACACGTCCGGTCAGGTTTAAGAGCTCATTATCTTGCCCTGTATTCAGAGCACCTTCACCCCGCTGAACCCCGCGGCTGTGAGCTCGCTGCTCGCTCGATCTTGACAGCGACGCGGCTTTTAATGAATGGACTCCCAGAAGAGCCCGTGTCAGCCACACCGCTGACAGTTAGATCCATGGCAACGCAGTCAATCATGATGAAGCAGTGTAGTGCCCGTTGCCGAGGAGGGTAGGAACTGGAACGAGGCAGGGCAGGGCAGGGCAGGGCAGGGCAGGGCATCCACAATGTAACTATGTTTAGTTCAATGATTAGGCTACGCCCCAACCAAACTTTGGTTTCCCCCTTACTGTCCGAGAGGATTTGAATTGGACATTTTGAGAGGCTAAGGGTATTGCTTTTGTGGCTTTCGCACCCATTCTGTATATGAAAACCATTGGAAACCTTTCCTCCCTCTAGATGATATTAAAAACAGGGCCAACTGACCCAGGAACACTCATTACATTTCTCGACCTATCAGATTGGTGGTTAATCAATACAGACCTATGACTTTGCTAAATAATAAATAGTCAAATGGTTCCAGATAGATTAACAAATAAGCAAGGAAGCAGTTCCCGTTGTGGCTAACACTACTGGTATTGCTGCCATGGTGTGACGGAATGGTTGTATTCTGGGCCACATTAACTGCAGTGGATCACCATTCATTACATATACACAGACACACACACAAACACCCACATACACATACACACACACAAACAAACACCCACATACATATACACAGACACACACGTCATGCTCCCTAGTGAAAGTGCCACAGAGAGAGGATGACACTGGTACCCCCAAAGCCACTCAATCAAGCCTGGCTGGCTATATCCTGAAATAACACAGGCCTGGCTAGCTATATCCTGAAATAACACAGGCCTGGCTGGCTATATCCTGAAATAACACAGGCCTGGCTGGCTATATCCTGAAATAACACAGGCCTGGTGTCACGTCTCCTCCCGTTGCTCCCCTCCAGCGCTCTGATCCGCCGGTCTACTGAGACACCAGTCTGAGCGCACCACCTCGGCAAACACAGGAATGGAAACCCAACGCACCCTAATCACCTCCAGACGCACCTGCACCTCATCATCTCATCACCACCCCTATATAGCCCAGGACTGTTAGTTCATTGTTGTGTGCAATTGTTAGCGTCGTGTCGTTTACTCTCTCTTTCTCATTATTAACTAAACCTTGACCTTGTTAATTCCTGCGTCTGCCTCTTCATATACTCAGTACTCGTCACAGAATTACACACCACTCACGAAAATGGATGCAGCAGGAGTTTCCCAGTGCCTGGACCAGCACCAGCAGCAGCTTGCCCAGTTGAACACCACCATGCAGGAAGTGCTCCAAACTCTGCATAATCTGCCCAGCGCGTCAGCCTGGGGCATATCCATCTGACCAAGCCAGGATAGCGTTGGTGATTTCGCTACTTAAAGGAAAGGCGCTGGATTGGACCACGGCAGTCTGGGAAGAAGGTGAGGCCGCAGCGCGTTCCCTACTCCACCTTCCTCGCTCGGATCAGGGCGGTGTTTGATCATCCCACGGAGGGAAAGGACGGGGGTGAGCGTCTCCTCCGGCTACAACAGAGAGAGGGGCCAGCGTCCGAGTACGCTCTGAGCTTTCGCACGGTGGCGGCAGCATCTTCCGGATGGAATGAGCATGCTCTGCGCACGGCCTTCAGGAGAGGCTTACGGGAGGACGTTAAGACGGAACTCGCATGTCGGGACGACGAGATGGACCTTGATACCCTCATCACCACGTCCATCCGTCTTGACGACATGTTGAGCGAGAGGCGGCGTTCCCAACACCTCCCGGAGCCTCGACGCTCACCCCATCAGCGCTATGGAAGCCGCCCTGCCTCTGAGTCCTCCCATGGAGGTGGGCAGCACCCTCTACACCACCACGGACCACAGATCTCCTGGTGGCTCCCTATCTAGGCGGTATGACTCCCGTAGCCGCTCCGTGAGTGTTACGTCATCTCCTATCACAAAACCCTTGTTTTTAGTTCCCATAACGGTGACTGGTTATTCCTTCTCTTCCATTTCTACTGCTATGATAGATTCCGGATCAGCGGGGAACCTTATAGATAGGGAGCTGGTCTCTGAATGGGGGTTTTCCACTGTGCCACTGCCTTCTCCGCTACACATCACCTCGCTGGACAATAAACCCCTTGGATCAGGCACCATTACGCACGTCACTCTCCCCATCACCATCACCATTCCCACACTACCGGAGCACCACGAGGAGCTGTCATTCCACATCGTCACGTCACCCCTTCCACCGGATCTTCTTGGGATTGCCCTGGCTCAGACTACACAACTCCACTATCAATTGGATCCCCAAGAGGATCACAGCCTGGTCCAACTCATGCCGGAAGACCTGCCTGCCGGTGGTTTGTTGTTCCACGTCAGTGGAGAGTCCGGAGTCCGCCCTCCAGCCCAACATTCCACGTGAGTACTCAGATCTCTCCGATGTCTTCTCTTCATTAAAGGCTAAGTGTCTCCCTCCTCACAGGCCCTGGGACTGCACCATTGACCTGCTGGAGGGACAACACCCCCCGAAGAGTCGCATTTACCCCCTTTCCATGGCGGAGACTGAGGCCATGGAGAAGAAGTATGTGGCGGAGACCCTGAAACAGGGGTTCACAGCCTGTTGGTGAAGGGGGAGAAATGTGAATTCCACCCACAGGCCATCTCCTTCCTGGGATACAGGATCAGTCCTCAGGGGGTGTTCATGGAAAGAGCGAAGGCGGACGCCGTCAGGTCATGGCCAGTCCTCACCACCATCAAGGGGCCTACAGAGCTTCCTGGGCTTCGCCAATTTCTACCGGCGTTTCATCAGGTCCTTCAGCTCCATAGCCGCCCCACTCAACTATCTCCTTAAGGGTGGGCCTCAGAAGCTGGCCTGGAACCCTGAGGCTGACGCTGCCTTCAAGAGACTGAAGGAGAGGTTCACATTTCACCACAGCGCCCATCCTAAAACATCCCCACTGTAGGAAAAACTCAACCAGTAGTAGTGTCTGCCTGGCTCAGCATGCAAATACACGGTTCAGGATTTCTGAGTTCACATTTCTGACTTTAGACAGCGCTCCAGGAAAACAGTGCTTCATGATCTGGGAGTCAAGGACTAAGGGTGAGGCCAGACTGGCCCGTTGATTTGATCCGTAACCGTGATTTCTAATGCTTTCTCAATGGGAGTCGTACGTTGACGGTCAGCGGCGATGACGCGTCCATATCCATACTATCTCGCAGACAAAGTTCAGATGAGTTGAACTTTTGACTGGCTGACCGATACATAATCATCCGTTTAGCCAATTAGAAGAGGGCCTAAATTAATTTGACAGACCCCTAAATATACATTACCATACGAGGTCACACAGTGACGGACCCCTAAATGGACATTACCATACGAGGTCACAGTAACAGAACCCTAAACTCACATTACCCTACGAGGTCACACAGCGACAGACCCCTAAACATACATTACCATACGAGGTCACACAGTGACAGACCCCTAAAGTACATTACCATACGAGGTCACACAGTGACAGACCCCTAAACATACATTACCATACGAGGTCACACAGCGACAGACCCCTAAACATACATTACCATACGAGGTCACACAGTGACAGACCCCTAAAGTACATTACCATACGAGGTCACACCGTGACAGACCCCTAAACGCACATTACCATACGAAGTCACACAGTGACAGACCCCTAAACGCACATTACCATACGAGGTCACACAGTGACATACCCCTAAACGCACATTACCATACGAAGTCACAGTGACAGACCCCTAAACGCACATTACCATACGAGGTCACACAGTGACAGACCCCTAAATGCACATTACCATACGAGGTCACACAGTGACAGACCCCTAAATCTACATTACCATACGAGGTCACACAGTGACAGACCCCTAAATGCACATTACCATACGAGGTCACACAGTGACAGACCCCTAAACACACATTACCATACGAGGTCACACAGTGACAGACCCCTAAATCTACATTACCATACGAGGTCACACAGTGACAGACCCCTAAACGCACATTACCATACGAAGTCACACAGTGACAGACCCCTAAACGCACATTACCATACGAGGTCACACAGTGACAGACCCCTAAATCTACATTACCATACGAGGTCACACAGTGACAGACCCCTAAACGCACATTACCATACGAAGTCACACAGTGACAGACCCCTAAACGCACATTACCATACGAGGTCACACAGTGACAGACCCCTAAATCTACATTACCATACGAGGTCACACAGTGACAGACCCCTAAATCTACATTACCATACGAGGTCACACAGTGACAGACCCCTAAACGCACATTACCATACGAAGTCACACAGTGACAGACCCCTAAACGCACATTACCATACGAGGTCACACAGTGACAGACCCCTAAATCTACATTACCATACGAGGTCACACAGTGACAGACCCCTAAATGCACATTACCATACGAAGTCACACAGTGACAGAACCCTAAATGTAACACATTTAGATCATCAAATCCTGACAGGCAAAGTTCAGTTGTTACAACGGCAGGGACCAAAGTACAGCAAGTATCAGGTAATTATATTATATTTTCAAGTGCTTCGCGATAAATATTTCACCCGAGTCTTGCATCACTGAAACAATTAACAGATGGATATGCAGAATTATAACAAATTGATTCAATATTTCTCCTAAACATTTTGGCTGGTACGAGGCTACATCTATCCGGTCTAACCTCTGCCATTGTGATAATTGACTCAGCACTAGGCATAGCAATACAAGAACACAGTAAAGAATATCTCCTCTGAAGAGAGAAATGCATCCAGTCGGCATAGCATAAGAACACATTATGCTTTCTCTCTATCTACCGATTGGCTCAAAAACTGTCAAAAAATTAATAATAAAAAAGGTAACTAATGAACTCATACAGTAGACTAGATGGGTTATGTTATGAGATCTAGCAGACACAAGTAATTAATGTTAGCTTGGTTATTCACAGATCAAGCTTGTTATTTACATTTACATTTGAGTCATTTAGCAGACGCTCTTATCCAGAGCGACTTACAGTTAGTGCATAAATTTTTATATATATATATATTTTTTCATACTGGCCCCCCATGGGAATCGAACCCACAACCCTGGCGTTGCAAACGCCATGCTCTACCAACTGAACTACCCTGGACGACGCTCTGCTTGTTAATGTGGGCAGCGCCTGATTGTATCACTGATAAACATTCACCTAGTTAACGTTTTTGACCCAGAGCGACCTTTCCAACATAATCATAAATATTGTGTGGCCTTAGCTATACACACACACCATTGTTAAACTTAGGTGTTGGTTCAATGTTTTGATTCCAGCCAGCAGTTGGTTTTGAAACACTTGACAGAGACCCCGACAGCTAGCTACTGTTCACTAGCTTTAATTGTCAATGTGTAGAAAGTGATATTTAGCAACACAGCGCAGCTCCCCACACAACTTTGCAGTGCACATGCCATGGCATGAGAACGCAAGTTCAACCGTCTTTGCATGACACTCTCGTATGTGGTTCATTGGACAAGACTAGACAACCCGTCGCTAGCGGCTAGCTAGTTAGCTAGCTACAGTAACGTTTTAACTACACTAATATGGTGAAGGATTAAAAAGATAGCACACGCTTACCTCTTTTGACGGCCTCGTCATACGAAAGGAAACCTATCCTTGACTCCTTGGCACCCATGTTGCCCTCATTTCACTACGATGTGAGAAAAATAAACGTTGAGTGTACGAACGGCGCCTGTTGCGAAAATCCGTTACCTGCACTGGGCTCAGCTGTGTTTTCACCGAACGACGCCGCTCCTCGCGGACGCTTTGCTTTGGTCACATGACTGGAGTTCCATGGGTCATCTGATTGGGCGGACGCTTTGCTTTGGTCACGTGACTGGAGTTCCATGGGGTCATCTGATTGGTTGGCATGACATGGTTGTGCGATGCACATGAGGTATTTCTACAGTCTATGGAGTGAAAGCATGAGGTGAACAAAATACAGACAGTTTTCAGATGCTGTTACAATTACGTAGCGCAGTACCCCCACCCATTTGCAAAGCTATGTTGCCGAATCGTCTCACACAATGAAACAGTTTTGGGTCTGTTTACTATTTTACGCTACCATTTTGTAAAACTGTCAATGTTGTCCTTGTCGCTGGCTCCCTCATGTGGATATAGTTCAAAAAGGTTTTATCATCAAGTTTGCAGAATTTGCAGTGCACAAGATAAAGCTTGTCAAGATTCAGTATTGCAATGTGAAAGTTATATTTTTCTAACAATTGGTCTACTGGTATAATACTGTACTACATGTTGCATTGGACACTAGTCTCCCGAGGGGCGCAGTGGTCTAAGGCACTGCATCGCAGTGCTAGCTGTGCCACTAGAGATCCTGGTTCGAATCCAGGCTCTATCGTAGCCGGCCGTGACCGGGAGACCCATGGGGCGGCGCACAATTGGCCCAGCGTCGTCCAGGGTATGGGAGGGAATGGCCGGCATGGATGTAGCTCAGTTGGTAGAGCATGGCGTTTGCAACGCCAGGGTTGTGGGTTCGATAAAATAATGTATGCGCTAACTGTAAGTCGCTCTGGATAAGAGCGTCTGCTAAATGACTAAAATGTAATGTAAAATGATACACTTGTTTTTTTGCACTAGTTTATTCGTTTTTAGAATTAATCAATTCTCTTATGCGCTGTATTCATGATTGTATGATTCATGATTGTATGTGTGATAAAACATGATTATCTACAATATCTGATCATTTGCACAGATCAGCAATAGTCAAGAATGTTGACACCTAAGCAAGAGAAACAAATATATTTTTTTATTCAAATATACCTATCTGAGCCCTATACTACGAATATAGTTTGAGGAGTTAGCGAGTTATCTTTAGTCAACTCTGAATTCTTCTTGGGATAACCAGCACTTCTAAAAGTCTTATTCACATGATAGTCTGCTTAATTTGCAAGACACCTTTTCTTTCATTTTGATTTAGGAAATTAAAATGTGGCACGGACTTCACCATGGATTGATGTTACAGCATTGTCTCAATGCAAAGTTCTGCGTTCGACTAGCCACGTGCGACATGCACGCGCAGTTACAAGCCTGCTAGAGTTAGCCGCAGACGGACAAGCAATATCCACCCCTCTGCATAGCCACTGGAAGTAGGGGTGCTGAGGGATTTTTATCCCCCCAAAAATAATATATTATAAAAAATATTTATAATTTAGAAAATAAAAATGTCTCACAAAAGTAGTGCACTGGGCCCTTAATATGTCCCTCTTCCTCTCTCTCAGTCTCTCCCTGGACTGTTGGTCCTCTGTCTTCTTCTCTTTCTGTCTCTCCTAGCAGGGAACCCCACTCTGCCTCCTCTTCTTCGCTCTCTTCCTCCACTGGCCCCCTCTCTGCCTCCTCTCTTTCCATCTCTTCCTCCACTGGACCCTCAACCTCCACCTCTATTTCAGCCCTCTCCTCGAATTCCTCCTCTCTTCCAGCCTCCTTTGTTGATTTAGCAGTAGGAGGGGGTCGGGGGCAGACTTGATCGGCGTCCTGCTTCCAAGATCCACACACGACACATTCCAATCACCACCCCAGAGATAACACCCTTGATCGGCACCCTGCTTCGAAGATCAACACACGACACATTCCAATCATCACCCCAGAGATAACACCCTTGATCAGCGCCCTGCTTCCAAGATCAACACACGACACATTCCAATCCCATATCTTTTTGAGTCACAGAGCTCCTTCTGTTCCAAAGATACACAAAAAAACATTAAGCCCACTCATTATTCTCATCAACACATTGTTATAGAAACTTCAAATATACGGGTCCGCTGAAATACCACGCAGGGCACTCAGAGAACTGATCCATTGTTACCGGTTCTTCCTCAAATACTCTGACAGAGAGAGTTCCCACCTCTCTGCTGGCCAATCAGAGTAGACGCTGAGCGTGGTTTAGACTTACTCAGCCAATCCGTTGGCGCACGGGTTGGTCCCAACCCCTCTGCGCTCCACTTGTTGCACACTGTTGCCAGGCATAAGTTTTTATCATAACAACCTGTGGAGTCAGCACCCAAAAGACACCATTCCACTGTACTACGTTCAAGGACGGTTCACAGACAACAAAGAGGCAGTGTTCGTATCTGTGAGAAATACAAGTCTTATCTATAAGAAATACAAGTTTTATCTCATCCTAGCTCCTAACGTTCCTCACATGAATCACAGCCTGTTATGTGAAACAATTTATATCAGTATAGTTCAAACCTATGCTCCTCATTAATGCATTCCTTCTAAGCTATTCATCACTTCAATCCAATTATGAGAAAACAAATCCCAACCCGGATCTCACAGGTAACAACATCAATCCAAAACCCGACCAAATTACAATCAGAACGATGTTTGGATCCACTTTACTTCTCTTAACTGTAATCCTCTCAACACGCCATCTGATTCAAACAGAACTTCCTTTCCCGCCATTTTTCTCACACCCGCCTCCATCTTCTTCTTCTTCTTCCCTTGCTATCTTCTCTTCTTCAAGGTTTTATGATGAACCACACCTATAGGCGTTTTGCCGCCACCTACTGGATGGGTTTGAAAACGGAGAAACTTTAACTTAGAAATGATAGGGGACAACGGGATGAAAAACATACTCCTAATATTCCAAAAGTAAACAAAAACAAAAATCTACTCCTTCAGTCGGTTTCAAATGTCTATTCAGATCCTTACACAGACTCAGGAGCCTGAGAGGGGGGGGGAACATCTCCCTTCAGTATTTCCTGCAACGTTTCGGCCGTGAAGTCTTGGAGATACATTTTTCTATATTTTTTTGCCGCCTTCACAAAAATGTCTTAGTTTCTTCATTTTTGCATTAGTTTGTGTACAGTGAAATGTAGCACTTGTGCAATAAACGCAACAAAGTCTACCGTCACTATTAGTGATCCTAGCTACTGCGACATCCACCCACGGGGCACTCTGGGAACTCTGGGAACGTGATTCCCATCAATGCTGCACTGTGCTTCCTCAGACTCTTCAACAACAACATATTGGGTGAGTTCCTCTGCCCAGGTGTTGCTGACGTATACCAGTTCTTACAACGTCTGGATAGGTATTTTAAGAATCAGCTAAACCACATCATACGTTATAGCAATCTAGTTCCTGACGGCACAGTCGATGACGTCGCACGCAACCATTGGTTGATGCATGCAACATTTGAGCAGGGGGAACGCAACCATTTATTACTTCCGCAAACATTTGCCACGCGTCATCCTCGCACACTGTTGCACCTACGACACTAATCTAGTGAGCACCTTTGGAGCTCCGCCCAAGCAAGGCGTTTTGATGTTTGATGTGTTGTGAGGCGTCACTGATTTACACCCATTGAGGGAGCTCTATTAACCTGAGCCACAGTGTACAAGCCTATGCCCCGTGACGTGAACGGGCAAAAGCGGTGAGGGAGGAGCGCCCTTCTCAAATAGAACAGTAATCTGCGACGCTCAGACATGTTGTCAACAAGGCATCGTTCAGAAACATATATCTCTTTTCCATAAAATATGTGTTTGAATTTTCAAAAGCAATCACTTTTGCATGTGAAAACACATTACTCCATGTGCTTAACCTACGGCTCCTGGCTCACGCCCGGGAGGCAGCCCGGTTCAAATCCGCTTCACCCGGGGAATATCCGGTGCATTAATAGAACTCCCTCAGTTTACACCGGGTTCCCACCCCTTATTAGCTATTGGCCGTGTTCGAGAGCATCAAGGCTTGAACTGTTGAGCGCTACATCCCGAGGGGTTCATGCTGATGGCACTGGAGATTGTGACAGCCCGTTAAATGGCGTCGCTTGAGAAGGCAAGAACAAGATGTATGTCAGGAGAAGTGCAGTATTATCATAAGGAGAGTTATACTTGGAATACGGAGAAGGAATGGAGGGAAAAATAGAGGCAGAGGTGGTCTAAGAGAGAGAGAGAGGGAGGAAGAGAGTGAGCTTGAGTCGGTTAAAAATGGCGGGAAAAAAGGAGATGGTTTGTTAAAGAAGAATGGTAGAAAGTGTAAGCAGAGTGAGCTGAAGACAGGAGGAGAAATGGAAGAGGGTGAAGTATTGGTGTGGTAAAGTTCTCGTAGCTCAAAGCTTGCACCGAGTGTCATGATAAAGATGAGTCTGTGACAGTAGGAGTAAAGTTTTTGGAAAAAGTGGACCTTTGCCTTTTGGCTGATCCGTTTGTGGTTTCAGGGTGGGTGACAACAGAGTTGGGTGCTGTGGAATCGGTGAAGGTAACCAGAAGTGGTCTTGTGATAATTGTTTGTGTTTCTGCTGGTCAGAGGGAGCAGGCGCTCCGTGTTAAACCAATGGGGGCAAGAGATGTGAATTGTTTTGCTCTCAAGAAAAGGGTGCCATTGAAACGAGTAATTACTGGGGTAGCGGTAAATGTGAAAGCTGACAAACTGAAGGGGGAAGATTCCCGGTGTTTGTGATGCTCGTCGTTTGGTGCGACGCAGACAGGGTGGCGAGAGTGGTGAAACAGAAGAGTCATTGTCTGTCCTTTTGAGTTTTGATGTTGAGTCTTTGTCCGACAAAGTGATGTTAGGATATATAAGTTATCCTGTACGAGCGTTTGTGCCGAATACATTACGTTGTTACAGGTGTCAAGCTTATGGGCATGTGGCAGCAGTGTGTAGGAGGGAGGTTCCTAGGTGTGAGAAGTGTGCAGAAGGGCATGAGACAAAGGAATGTGTAGCATTGGGGAAAGTAGTGGTATGTGTTCATTGTAGGGGTGCCCATGGGGCTGGGGATCAGAAATGTCCTGTGCGAGAGAGGCAGGTTGAGTTTTCCAGGGTTAGAGTAGTGCAGAAGTTGTCATGCTGAGGCAGTGAAGAAAGTAGAGGAAGATGGGTCAAGGGGGAGGGAACGTGAGAGGAGTGATGTGAATAGTAGATCTGTACCAGTACAGAGGGATAAACCAACAAGTGATATATATTTAAGTAAGATTGGATTTCTAGCATTTATAGCAATGGTTATCAACTGTACTGCAGGGATGGAACGTATGTCGCAGAAAACTGAGGTTGTGGTGGCAGCTGCAGAGAGGTATTTGGGTGTGGTGGCAGCTGCAGAGGTATTTGGGTGTGGTGGCAGCTGCAGAGAGGTATTTGGGTGTGGTGGCAGCAGAGAGGTATTTGGGTGTGGTGGCAGCTGCAGAGGTATTTGGGTGTGGTGGCAGCTGCAGAGAGGTATTTGGGTGTGGTGGCAGCTGCAGAGAGGTATTTGGGTGTGGTGGCAGCTGCAGAGGTATTTGGGTGTGGTGGCAGCTGCAGAGGTATTTGGGTGTGGTGGCAGCTGCAGAGGTATTTGGGTGTGGTGGCAGCTCGAGAGGAGGGTTGTGGGTGTGGTTGGGGTGGCAGCTGCAGAGGTAGTTTGGGTGTGGGTTTGGCAGCAGAGAGGTATTTGGGTGTGGTGGCAGCTGCAGAGAGGTATTTGGGTGTGGTGGCAGCTGCAGAGGTATTTGGGTGTGGTGGCAGCTGCAGAGAGGTATTTGGGTGTGGTGGCAGCTGCAGAGAGGTATTTGGGTGTGGTGGCAGCTGCAGAGGGTATTTGGGTGTGGTGGCAGCTGAGAGGTATTTGGGTGTGGTGGCAGCTGCAGAGAGGTTGGTTTGGGTGTGGTGGCAGCTGCAGAGAGGTATTTGGGTGTGGTGGCAGCTGCAGAGGTATTTGGGTGTGGTGGCAGCTGCAGAGGTATTTGGGGTGGTGGTGGCAGCTGCAGAGAGGTATTTGGGTGTGGTGGCAGCTGCAGAGGTATTTGGGTGTGGTGGCAGCGAGAGGTATTGGGTGTGGTGGCAGCTGCAGAGGTATTTGGGTGTGGTGGCAGCTGCAGAGGTATTTGGGTGTGGTGGCAGCTGCAGAGAGGTATTTGGGTGTGGTGGCAGCAGAGAGGTATTTGGGTGTGGTGGCAGCTGCAGAGGTATTTGGGTGTGGTGGCAGCTGCAGAGGTATTTGGGTGTGGTGGCAGCTGCAGAGGTATTTGGGTGTGGTGGCAGCTGCAGAGGTATTTGGGTGTGGTGGCAGCAGAGAGGTATTTGGGTGTGGTGGCAGCTGCAGAGGTATTTGGGTGTGTGTGGCAGCATGCAGAGGTATTTGGGGTGGTGGCAGCTGCAGAGGTATTTGGGGTGGTGGCAGCAGAGAGGTATTTGTGGGTTGTGGTGGCAGCTGCAGAGGTATTTGGGTGTGGTGGCAGCTGCAGAGAGGTATTTGGGTGTGGTGGCAGCTGCAGAGGTATTTGGGTGTGGTGGCAGCTGCAGAGGTATTTGGGTGTGGTGGCAGCTGCCAGAGGTAGGTATTTGGGTGTGGTGGCAGCAGAGAGGTATGTGGGTGTTGGTGGCAGCTGCAGAGGGTAGAATTTGGGTGTTGTAGGGTGGCAGCTGCAGAGGTATTTGGTGTTGTGTGGCAGCTGCAGAGAGGGATTTGGTGTGGGTGGTACACCGGCAAAAGAGTAGGTATTTGGGTGTTGTGGTGGGCAGCTGCAGAGTATTTGGGGTGTGGTTGGCAGCAGAGAGGTATTTTGGGGCGGTGTGGTGGCCAACCAGAGATGGTATTGTGGGTTGTGGTGGCAAGCAGAGAGGTATTTGGGTGTGGTGGCAGCTGCGAGGTATTTGGGTGTGGGTGGTCAAGCTGCAGAGGTATTTGGAGTGTGATGGCCAGCTGCATGAGGTATTTGGGTGTGGCTGGCAGCTGCAGAGGGTATTTGGGTGTGGTGGCAGCCTGCAGAGGTATTTGGGTGTGGTGGCAGCGGCAGAGAGGTGGTTTGGGTGTGGTGGCAGCTTGCAGAGGGTATTGGGTGTGGTGGGCAAGCTGCAGATGGTATTTGGGTGTGTGGTGGCCGCTTGCAGAGGTATTTGGGTGTGCGAGACTTGACATCAGCAGAGATACAGGGTGTGTTAAGTGGTGATGTCCCATCCTTTCAGGCTGTTGGCCTGAAGTAGAACTAAATAGATATAAATAGTGGAGTAGGGTGGTGTTTTTTATTTTTATTTATTATGATTATTATATATATATATATATATATATTTATATTATTTTTTTGTGTTAGATGGTAGGGTATATTTTTTTTTCAAGCTAAGTATAAGGGAGTTCTACTCCAGTCCAGTAGGTGGCGGTAATGCAACATGTATTGGATGCCAACCGCCGTTAAACCTCATCAAAGAAGAAGAAGAGAGCATTAAGACCGTGATGTATCATGGGTAAACTGTGATGTACTGAGTCGTTATTTATGATGCAAGGTGATTTGTAGATCAGTCAGTCGGCAGTCGCCTGCAATGTTGAACAAGCCCACTTTCTGCCACGGACTTCTCCAGGCTTCCTGATTAGGGGTCCAATGAGCTAAATTGCCTGGGTCTCGACGAGGCTACCACCATGTCAACAAACCAAAAAACGTGTACACCGCCATGTTGGCTGTAAGGCGCCAAATTTAAAACTATAGGGCCTGGTTCCAATTCTCCTTTTCTACCTCCCTAGGCTTGAAGCAGTCACTGACCGTCATGGTTGAGTAAGGAAGGTTTACAATGTTAACAGAAGACCTTCAGGACCTCCCCTCATTTAAGCAAAAAATTGGACAATCGAATCGACCCATGCGACCAAATGACACTACCCGGTTTGAAACCTGTGTGCAGGTAATCTCGGTTAACCAAGAAATCAAGTCTTGCAATTATACTTCAGTATACCTTAGTAACATCTGACCAAAATATATCATAACACTGAAGCAGCGAACTTTGTGAAGACCAATACTTGGGTAATTCTCAAAACGTTTGACCACGACTATACAGTACAAGTCAAAGGTTTGGACACACCTACTCATTCAAGGGTTTTTCTTTATTTTTACTATTTTCTATATTGCAGAATAATAGTGAAGACATCAAAACTATGAAATAACACATATGGAATCATGTAATAATAAATAATATGCCATTTAGCAGACGCTTTTATGCAAAGCGACTTACAGTCATGCGTGCATACATTTTTGTGTATGGGTGGTCCCGGGGATCGAACCCACTACCTTGGCGTTACAAGCGCCGTGCTCTACCAGCTGAGCTACTCATGTAGTAACCAAAAAAGTGTTAAACAAATCAAAATATATTTTATATTTGAGATTCTTCAAAATAGCCACCCTTTGCCTTGATGACATGATTCCATATGTGTTATTTCATAGTTTTGATTTCTTCACTATTATTCTACAATGTAGAAAATAGTAAAAAAATAAAGAAAAACCCCTTTAATGAGTAGGTGTGTCCAAACGTTTGACTAGTACTGTATCTATACTACCACTCACAATTTCTCTAATTTGGTCTGCCAAACGTAAGATCATAAAGACTGTCCAAAAGGACTCGGCTGCATGACGAGTACACACCGTATCTGGCATATTGTTGTCTGTCTGACGATGTTTCACATGAACACCAAGCAAATCCAGTTGTCTGACAATCGGTGGGACAACTCCTCGTCTCCTTCACCCTTTTCAGATTGCGAACATACCGGTCCTGAATCTTTCTCCATGTTTCTTTGATATCAGTATCGGTGTTCACATTTTGTGATATCTCCCTTCAGCTGTTGTCTTTTACTTGCTTGTCCGAATACAACCGCATCGTAAGGGTTGTAAAGGTTCTCGTATTATCTCACCAGCTCACACAGACGCTCCTCCAAACTGGACATACACATACTTGCGCTTAGCAAATCTCTAAATAAAAAAGGCCCAGTTTGCGTATTGTCTGTAGACCCTTTAAGTCTCTGGTTTCCCCCTCTGGATATCATTGAAAAGTTTCATGTAAAGTTTGCCATTGACAGAATATGCAGTGCACAGGATGAGGCTTGTCTAGATACAGGATCAATACAGTGTGAAAGTAATATTCTATAACAATCTACCACGTGTATGTATGAACCATATTATTTACCACATGTAGGCTACGATAAAGTATTTCTCTATGATATCTGATCATCTCGAAATCTGCACTCAGATCAGCAAGTTAAGAATGTTGACACCTGAACAAAAGAAGCAAATCAACATTTTTATTCAAGTATACCTATCTGTAAAACGGTTTTCCAATACATGGAAAATGGCACTTGACATTCAGTGAAAAGGTGTCATAACATCTTCCTATAACACTTGTTATATCATATTTACGACCATGTCATGAAGTACAGTTCAAAGTGTTACCATCCGGTATTGTGAGTCGGTCCCCAAACTATGATAGTCCCTTGTTGTTCAGAGATGTAGCCTAATACCCTGTAATCTACAGACCCTGTGTTAGGACACTTCTTTAATCACTCTCACAGGTGAGGTTTAATCCAAAGTATTCAGTCTCTGAATCCACTGTTGAATCAGAGTCCTCTTCCTGTCTGTCATTTCCTTCTAGCACTGATGATGTACGTCCTTCTTCTTCTTCTCTTTCTGTCTCTCCTAGCAGGGAACCCCACTCTGTCTCCTCTTCTTCGCTCTCTTCCTCCACTGGACCCCACTCTGCCTCCTCTCTTTCCATCTCTTCCTCCACTGGACCCTCAACCTCCCCCTCTATTTCAGCCCTCTCCTCGAATTCCTCCTCTCTTCCAGCCTCCTTTGTTGGTTTAGCAGTAGGAGGGGGTCGGGGGCAGACTTCTCCGGTGGCACTATGTTGGAAAAACAGCTCACAGTCCTCCCTCCAGCATTTGATGTTGTTGTACCCAGCTGCCCTCATCTCCTTCTGCTTACTGCTGGCACATTGGTATGATGTTACAATGCCCATCTTAGACAGTCTTTTGAAAATGGGCTTAACCCCCCCCTTGGGTCAGTGTTGAGTTGATGACATAGGCCAGTGCAGAAAGCCTGGGGTTTCTACCTCTCAGGGCCACAGAGGCAGCCACACAGTTATGGACGGTGGAACCACCCGTTGCAGTATTGATGGTGGTATAAAGCCACGGTGTCTTCCTGGACAACTCATATGAAAAAGCCTTCAGATTCTCCAACGAGGTACTACTCAAGATGCAAGGTTCAAAAACATTAGGGAGGCTTGCATATGCCTTGACCTCCGCTTGCATTTTCTTTACAATCTGCTTTCTGATTTCTTTGGATATATTGTCATTTGTCAAGGATAACTTTGCGAAGGTCACCACGTTGCCCATTGCCAAGTTTTCAATCATGCCCGAAAATTCTGAAGCAATTACCTTCCTCTTCTGCTTCCACATTCTTCCCTTGTTGTCAGAGGAAGCGACTCCTGGTTTTGGATGACTCAATTTTGGGTCATATGTAATGACAACCTGCAAGACAATATAGAGCAGTCATTAGACCTACATTATGAAAATACACATCTAGTGTGGGGGCTTGGTGTTGCATGTCCAGTGTGGGGGCTTGGTGTTGCATGTCCAGTGTGGGGGCTTGGTCTTGCATGTCCAGTGTGGGGGCTTGGTGTTGCATGTCCAGTGTGGGGGCTTGGTGTTGCATGTCCAGTGTGGGGGGCTTGGTGTTGCATGTCTAGTGTGGGGACTAGGTGTTGCATGTCTAGTGTGGGGGCTTGGTGTTGCATGTCCAGTGTGGGGGCTTGGTGTTGCATGTCCAGTGTGGGGGCTTGGTGTTGCATGTCTAGTGTGGGGGCTTGGTGTTGCATGTCTAGTGTGGGGGCTTGGTGTTGCATGTCCAGTGTGGGGGCTTGGTGTTGCATGTCCAGTGTGGGGGCTTGGTGTTGCATGTCCAGTGTGGGGGCTTGGTGTTGCATGTCCAGTGTGGGGGCTTGGTGTTGCATGTCCAGTGTGGGGGCTTGGTGTTGCATGTCCAGTGTGGGGGCTTGGTGTTGCATGTCCAGTGTGGGGGCTTGGTGTTGCATGTCCAGTGTGGGGGCTTGGTGTTGCATGTCCAGTGTGGGGGCTTGGTGTTGCATGTCTAGTGTGGGGGCTTGGTGTTGCATGTCCAGTGTGGGGGCTTGGTGTTGCATGTCCAGTGTGGGGGCTTGGTGTTGCATGTCCAGTGTGGGGGCTAGGTGTTGCATGTCCAGTGTGGGGGCTAGGTGTTACACACACGTTCTGGAGAGTGCAACAGTTCATTCATGAATAGATCCTCAGAAACACTACAAACATACCACCAGCATGCATACAGGTTTCAGATGGAAATCCAATGGTCATCGACAGCCGTATAAGCTGCTGGTTAGTATAGCCAGAGTCCATTTCTCAGAGATAGCCTACATTAGAGAGAGTTGTAGCTATACATGATCATGTTAGGGTTATAGAGGTATAACGTTATAGTTACCTCAACCATAATGTTCTTCTCAGGGGCCTTTGTAGAGGCATCGCATCTCTTTTTGGCACCCCTGCCTGTAGCTGGTGGGCTTGGTTCCCGTTGTCGCTTCTTCTCAGGGACCTCATTCAAGGAATTACAGTTAAAGCACCTCGTCTTGGTAGCGTCTCTCCATGTCTCTATTGGGCTCTGTTGGGCCTTCACAACTTCTTCGCTGGGAGTTCCAAACGCCGGTGTTTGCGTTGCAGCTTTCCATGCATGCAACACACGCATTGTTTTTTCAACCTTACTTATGTTACGAAAACACTTTTGACATATCACTTTCGATGTATCCTTGTGCAGTGTCAGGTTTATGCCGAGCTACGATAACCTAGTCAGAATGGTACAATTCGACTTTGACACAAGTGAACGCACATGTTGGAGCGCACCGAATAACCTTGGGTTTTGGTCGCAGAGACGGCATCTATCAAGATGGTTTGCAGCTTTAGGCATATTTCAACAAAATAGTAGCGCAACTAACCGTACCATAAGAATGTCAACAAACTGAAAACGTCCCATACCGCCATACTGGCTGCCTGTGTCGCGCCAAAATCACGTGGAATTTACAACTATAGGGCCTGGTTCCAATTCGCTTTATCTATCTCCCTAGGCTTGAAGTAGTCACCGGTCATCAATGGTCGGTTGAAAGTCGAGGAAGGAAGGTTGCTGTGTTCAAAATGTTTACAGCGCCTACAGATTCAGTACAGCCCCTCAACTAGATCAACCAATAGAATCGGACCATCCAACATGTCTACGACACTAGCCCTACCCTTCTTTTCCTTCAATGCTGTCAAATTTGCATGGTCTCTTGCTAAATATCTAAATTAAAGCTTAGATAGCTATATATATATTTTTGGTGTATATTTCCTTTGATACAATATGGGTATTCTTCGTATACTAAGAGAATAAAATGTATATCTTTATTTTATTTTGCTTCTCACATTCCTATTACATTATTCATTGATCTTCAGCCGTTGCTTCCTGCACAGGTGTATCCTCAACAGGTAAATTTGACGTGTTTAATTGACTGTGTGTAGTAGAAGTAGGTCCATGAAGGAAGGTTGGAAGTGGATGAAGTGAAACGCCTCGATCACACCGACAGTGTTTTTCATTTTGGTACACCAGAAGTACATTCATTTCCAATGTAACGCTGTGTTTGCATTGCAGCATTGCTTTGCAGAGGTAGTTGCAGTGCGTTCTGTGTGGTGCATACGTTTGACAGAAATGGTAGCGGAAGGTGAATGTTGAACTTTTGTTGCACACCAACAGTGGGGAGAACAAGTATTTGATACACTGCCGATTTTGCACGTTTTCCTACTTACAAAGCATGTAGAGGTCTGTAATTTTTTATCATAGGTACACTTCAACTGTGAGAGACGGAATCTAAAACAAAAATCCAGACAATCACATTGTATGATTTTTAAGTAATTCATTTGTATAGATGATGCTGCTACTATTTTGCACAAGACTATCGGTGTGGTCGAGGCGTTACAGTAGCTGCGTCATATCACCGTTTTATTTTGGGGGATGCTGGAACTCACTTTTACAACCACATTTTACTTTTATGATACGATATTTAGCGCTTACAATATATATATATATTATATATATAGTTTTTTTTTTAGCTGAAAGATCTTTTGAGATGGTATGGCCTTCCTCAAAAAGGTCAGATAACATGGGATACATCCCAAACAGCACCCTTTTCCCTGTAGTGCACTACTAGGGGGCAGTCAAAACTAGTGCACTATATAGGGAATAGGGCCCCATATGGCTAGCAAACTCATGTAAACATCTGTGGTATTGGGAATGATAAAATTAGGCCGATGTTGCAAGAAGACCTTTGATTTGACACCTAGTAGATAGTCATGTGTAACTCACCCCGTTACCAGTGTATGTATCCCAAAGGGCACCTTATTCCCTATATAGTGCACTACTTTTGACCGGATCCCTATGGGCCCAGATCAAAAGTAGTGTACTATATAGGGAATAGGGTGCCATTTGAAACGCAGACGTTATGCCACAGATCAGACATGATGACAAGGCTGACATGACATGAGAGGAAATCAACCTAATGCGGTTCTCTTCCAGGAGGATCAGGACCCCGGCCATTGTCTATTCCACCCACGTAGCCACCACCCTTTCCCCCCCATCCTAACCCACATCCTCTACTACCCGTTCCCCACGGAGATTAAAGGATCCTGCGCGCACCAGGTCCCCCTGCTCAAGGCCAGCGCATGTCCAGGACCCGGCCTGAAGGTTGCCAATGACCATCTGGATGAGCCAGAGGAGGAATGGGAGAAGGTCATGTGGTCGGATGAGACAAAAATATAGCTTTTTGGTCAAACTCCACTCCGGTGTGTCGAGGAAGAGAAGGATGAGTACAACCCCAAGAAAACCATCCCAACCGTGAAAGCATGGAGGTGGAAACATCATTCTTTGGGGAGGCTTTTCTGCAAAGGGGACAGGACGACTGCACCGTATTGAGGGGAGGATGGATGGGGCCATGTATCGCGAGATCTTGGCCAACAACCTCCTTCCCTCAGTAAGAGCATTGAAGATGGGTCGTGGCTGGGTCTTCCAGCATGACAACGACCCGAAACACACAGCCAGGGCAACTAAGGAGTGGCTCCGTAAGAAGCATCTCAAGGTCCTGGAGTGGCCTAGCCAGTCTCCAGACCTGAACCCAATAGAAAATCTTTGGAGGGAGCTGAAAGTCCGTATTGCCCAGCGACAGCCCCGAAACCTGAAGGATCTGGAGAAGGTCTGTATGGAGGAGTGGGCCAAAATCCCTGCTGCACTGTGTGCAAACCTGGTCAAGACCTACAGGAAACGTATGATCTCTGTAATTGCAAACAAAGGTTTCTGTACCAAATAATAAGTTCTGCTTTTCTGACGTATCAAATACTTATGTCATGCAATAAAATGCAAATTAATTACTTAAAAATCATACAATGTGATTTTCTGGATTTTTGTTTTAGATTCCGTCTCTCACAGTTGAAGTGTACCTATGATAAAAATTACAGACCTCTACATGCTTTGTAAGTAGGAAAACCTGCAAAATCGGCAGTGTATCAAATACTTGTTCTCCCCACTGTATCTAGATGATGCTGCTACTATTTTGCACAAGACTATCGGTGTGGTCGAGGCGTTACAGTAGCTGCGTCATATCACCGTTTTATTTTGGGGGATGCTGGAAATCACTTTTAACACCACATTTACTTTTATAGTGATACGATATTTAGTGTTTACAAATATATTTTGTTTATTTTTTTAAGCTGAAAGATCTTTTGAGATGGTATGGGGCTGAGTTCAGCGACCCCATGATGCTGGACCCCCCCCCCCCCTCCATCTTCTGCGAGGCCCTGGTCCAAACACTGTTCTTCCCCATAGCTGCATATGCCTTCCTCAAAAAGGTCAGATAACATGGGATACATCCCAAACAGCACCCTTTTCCCTGTAGTGCACTACTAGGGGGCAGTCAAAACGAGTGCACTATATAGGGAATAGGGCCCCATATGGCTAGCAAACTCATGTAAACATCTGTGGTATTGGGAATTATGAAATTAGGCCGATGTTGCAAGAAGACCTTTGATTTGACACCTAGTAGATAGTCATGTGTAACTCACCCCGTTACCAGTGTATGTATCCCAAAGGGCACCTTATTCCCTATATAGTGCACTACTTTTGACCAGAGCCCTATGGGCCCAGATCAAAAGTAGTGTACTATATAGGGAATAGGGTGCCATTTGAAACGCAGACGTTATGCCACAGATCAGACATGATGACAAGGCTGACATGACATGAGAGGAAATCAACCTAATGCGGTTCTCTTCCAGGAGGATCCGGACCCCGGCCATTGTCTATTCCACCCACGTAGCCACCACCCTTTTCCCCCCATCCTAACCCACATCCTCTACTACCCGTTCCCCACGGAGCCACCACCCTGGCCCCCAGACCCAGAAGGAGCCCTACACCCTTGCAGTCATCTACGCTCCGTACCTCTGATGCTGCTGTTCACCATGCCGTTCAGCTCAGCTTACAACACCAACACTCAGGGAGGAAAGGGCTCAGCTTACAACACCAACACTCAGGGAGGAAAGGGCTCAGCTTACAACACCAACACTCAGGGAGGAAAGGGCTCAGCTTACAACACCAACACTCAGGGAGGAAAGGGCTCAGCTTACAACACCAACACTCAGGGAGGAAAGGGCTCAGCTTACAACACCAACACTCAGGGAGGAAAGGGCTCAGCTTACAACACCAACACTCAGGGAGGAAAGGGCTCAGCTTACAACACCAACACTCAGGGAGGAAAGGGCTCAGCTTACAACACCAACACTCAGGGAGGAAAGGGCTCAGCTTACAACACCAACACTCAGGGAGGAAAGGGCTCAGCTTACAACACCAACACTCAGGGAGGAAAGGGCTCAGCTTACAACACCAACACTCAGGGAGGAAAGGGCTCTGCGGAGGCCAAGAGGATCAAATGAGACACTCCTCTATTAGTAGTCTGAGTGCCAGTCTGTCTGTGCTGTTGTCCAACTCCACTGCTGTCCATTACGGGTGACATGGAGTTGGCACGATGGCACAAACAGGCTACTAGTCCACCTGTATAGTCAATCTCAAACTGTGACCCCGGCTGTCTATCCATCCAGGCAATCATACCTATAGTCTATCCTACAGTACACATTTTCAGAGTGATTTTTTGTATTTATTCTCAAGTGATGAATTGTCAATTGGTACATTTTAAGTCAAGAAAATATAATGGTTATGTTAAACATTCTTCATAAGAATTTAGATGTTTGATCATCTGCACACAGATGAGAAATAGTCAAGAATGTTGACACCAATAGAATCAAAATATGTTCAAAGTTGGTTTACTAACCTTTAACATAGATAAGATGAATGCAGAGTACGAGTATATTCGACCATTTCTTGATATATACTGTAAACATAAAATTATTAATATACTTTTCGAATGTACTTGTTTGGTTACAAACTGGCCTGAAATCCCAATAAGCCACCTGAGAGAAAATGTTTTGGTGTGGTCCCACAGACAATGGTGGAATGAGAAGATAAAACGTGAACACAACTTTATTCGTACCTTAGATGTAAACAGACTGAGTTAAGATGACAAGGGGGTGGGGGGGGTTACAGACAACACACAGCAAAAATAAATGTGTTTTGTTTCCATCAAAATCATTAAATTATTTACAGTAACATGCAAATACTGTACATTGTTTTCCACTTGTAGAAAAGGTAATACAACCATCTATACATAGTAATTCATTTGGAATAAATAGTGTAAATACTTTCCTTTGTATATAAATAGCTTTCTTCCCCATTTGCTTGTCTGACGTACTGTAGTGGTGTGAAAGGCGTGACGCCCATAGAGCATCAGGTTCTAATTATATTCAACACTTAAATGCTAAAAATGGATAACTGGGGGGGGGGGGGGGGGGGAGGAGGAGGGTTGTCACTTCAGATACCTGCTAGAGAGGAACATGTTACGCTGTAAAAGAAGGCTGAGAAGTTACTTCTAACTTTGCACGTCTTGCTGTCTAAGCAAAAACGTGTCTGTTTCAGTTGGAGCAGTTTTGGATTGCTTGTGGGTTGTCAGAGGGGTTATTGTGTTCAGATCAGCGATTCCCGTTAACCCATAGTGTAGTGGATATCACCCATAGAAAACAATCAAGGCACCCCTGGAAACATGGTCACAAACGCACACTGACACACTTCGGGCCTTCGACGCGCCCCTTATTTCTGCAGAATGAACTGGTCAATGAACTCATTCTGCTCAGCCTCCACTTTGGAGAGAGCTTCGTACTCGATGCGATACCTGGAATAGATCACAGATAAACACAAACTTCATTAAAATCCACTGACTGTCTAAGGTCAACCCCTGAGAATGAGACACTGACTTGTCTAAGGTCAACCCCTGAGAATGAGACACTAACTGTCTAAGGTCAACCCCTGAGAATGAGACACTGACTTGTCTAAGGTCAACCCCTGAGAATGAGACACTGACTGACTAAGGTCAACCCCTGAGAATGAGACACTGACTTGTCTAAGGTCAACCCCTGAGAATGAGACACTGACTGTCTAAGGTCAACCCCTTAGAATGAGACACTGAGTTGTCTAAGGTCAACCCCTGAGAATGAGACACTAACTGTCTAAGGTCAACCCCTGAGAATGAGACACTAACAATAGATTTGCCCAAGGAGACTTGACCTCAGTCTTACATTTCTTGCCTAATAAATTAAACCAATCACGTTCGTTTCTGCCTTGAGGCACAGCTATCCTCAGAACAAGATTGAATAAGAAAAACTCCAAATCTGCTCAGTCTTCTTAGCCTGGGTGCCAGTCCCGTTTCTGCTCTCTTGCCAACTCCATATGGAATTGTCATTCCAAACATGTTTGGCTTGACAATGGAGTGGGCAAAAGCACACACAGATCTGGGACCAGGCTACGTTCCATGTCATTTCAGCAAGCCATGACACCCGCCATCTCAGATTGTTCTGAAATCATTTCTGTAGTTAGAAACAGATAAGATTAGCATTCCTGAAACATTATTTTGTTGACATTTTATTTGATCTGAGAAATTAAGCTCATTGATTGCACCCAAATTGGCCCTTTTCATTTATAGGATTCACGTAATATTAAACAAAAAATAGTACCCAACATCTGATTTAGACCAAACTTCTTCCTGATATTGAGTAAGACGCGAGGAATCCAACTTTGTGAATACACTACATAGGATGAAAAAACAAAACAATACTCCATGCAGCAGCTCCATACTACTTGTCAAACATTAAGAACTGATACTGTATACTGGTTGTTGGGGTGGGATTGGTGTGGGGGGGGGGTCCGTGGGTGGCTTTGGATCATTCTATTGGATTCCTCGTGGTTAGAAAGAATTATGTTCCAAATCGGATGTTAGGTACTATATTTATTGAAGATATGAATCAGTGGAGGCTGCTGAGGGGAGGACAGCTCATAATAGTGGCTGGAACGGAGCCAATGGAAAGGCATTAAACACATGGAAACCAGCCATTCCCACGAGCCGTCCTCCCCATTCCACGAGCCCGCTCCTCCCACAGTCATCCCACGAGCCCGTCCTCCCCATCCACGAGCCGTCCTCCCCATCCCACGACCCGTCCTCCCATCCACGAGCCCGTCCTCCCATTCCCACGAGCCCGTCCTCACCCATTCCCACGAGCCAGTCCTCCCATCCCACGAGCCCGTCCTCCCATTCCCACGGCCCGTCCCCCCATTCCCACGAGCCGTCCTCCCCATTCCCACGAGCCCGTCCGTCCCCATTCCACGAGCCCGTCCTCCCATTCCCCGAGCCCGTCCTCCCCATTTCCACGAGCCCGTCCTCCATTCCCACGAGCCGTCTTCCCCAATCCACGGAGCCCGTCTCCCCATTCCCACGAGCCCGTCCTCCCCATTCCCACGAGCCCGTCCTCCCCATCCCACGAGCCCGTCCTCCCCATTCCCACGAGCCCGTCCTCCCCATCCCACGAGCCCGTCTCCCCATCCCACGAGCCCGTCCTCCCCCATTCCCACGAGCCCGTCCTCCCCAATCCCACGAGCCCGTCCTCCCCAATCCCACGAGCCCGTCCTCCCCAATCCCACGAGCCCGTCCTCCCCATTCCCACGAGCCCGTCCTCCCCATTCCCACGAGCCCGTCCTCCCCATCCCACGAGCCCGTCCTCCCCATTCCCACGAGCCCGTCCTCCCCATTCCCACGAGCCCGTCCTCCCCATTCCCACGAGCCCGTCCTCCCCATTCCCACGAGCCCGTCCTCCCCATTCCCACGAGCCCGTCCTCCCCATTCCCACGAGCCCGTCCTCCCCATTCCCACGAGCCCGTCTTCCCCAATCCCACGAGCCCGTCCTCCCCATTCCCACGAGCCCGTCCTCCCCATTCCCACGAGCCCGTCCTCCCCAATCCCACGAGCCCGTCCTCCCCATTCCCACGAGCCCGTCCTCCCCAATCCCACGAGCCCCGTCCTCCCCAATCCCACGAGCCCGTCCTCCCCATTCCCACGAGCCCGTCCTCCCCAATCCCCACGAGCCCGTCCTCCCCAATTCCCACGAGCCCGTCCTCCCCAATCCCACGAGCCCGTCCTCCCCCATTCCCACGAGCCCGTCCTCCCCAATCCCACGAGACCCGTCTCCCCATCCCCACGAGCCCGTCCTCCCCCATTCCCACGAGCCCGTCCTCCCCAATCCCACGAGCCCGTCTCCCCAATCCCACGATGGCCCGTCCTCCCCACATTACCCACGAGCCCGTCCTCCCCAATCCCACGAGCCCGTCCTCCCAATCCCACGAGCCCGTCCTCCCCAATCCCACGAGCCCGTCCTCCCCATTCCCACGAGCCCGTCCTCCCCAATCCCACGAGCCCGTCCTCCCCAATCCCCCGAGCCCGTCCTCCCCAATCCCACGAGCCCGTCCTCCCCAATCCCACGAGCCCGTCCTCCCCATTCCCACGAGCCCGTCCTCCCCAATCCCACGAGCCCGTCCTCCCCATCCCACGAGCCCGTCCTCCCCATCCCACGAGCCCGTCCTCCCCAACGAGCCCGTCCTCCCCATTCCCACAAGGCCCGTCCTCCCCATTCCCACGAGCCCGTCCTCCCCATTCCCACGAGCCCGTCCTCCCCATTCCCACAAGCCCGTCCTCCCCATTCCCACGAGCCCGTCCTCCCCATTCCCACGAGCCCGTCCTCCCCATTCCCACGAGCCCGTCCTCCCCATTCCCACGAGCTCGTCCTCCCCAATTAAGGTGCCACCAACCTCCTGTGATACGAATCCTATAAATTAAAATGGCCAATTTGGGTGCAATCAATTAGCTTAAATTCTCAGACATCAAATTATATTTCAACAAAATAATGTTTCAGGAATATTAATATCTGTTTCCGAAGAAAAGAAAAACGATTTCAGAACAATCTGATATGGCGGGTGTCGAAATCATCTTAAATAAATAAATACATTTGTCATTTAGCAGACGCTCTTATCCAGAGCGACTTACAGGAGCAATTAGGGTTAAATGCCTTGCTCAAGGGCACATCGGCAGATTTTTCACCTAGTCGGCTCGGGGATTAGAACCAGCGACCTTTCGGGTTACTGGCACAACGCTCTTAACCACTAAGCTACCTGCCGAGAGCTTTTTGAGGTGAAATGAATCTTACCTCTCCAGCTGCATCTTCTTCTCTGCTATCAGGGCATGGAGCTGCTGTTGCTGGGCCTCCCTCTGCTTGGCCACAGACTTCAACAGGTTCCTGGCTCCAATAGCCTGGGAGAAGGAGGCAGTGCAGCAGCATGTTGTTCACTCAGATAACAAGGCCTCGGTCGTTCCCACAGATAACAAGGCCTCGGTCGTTCCCACAGATAACAAGGCCTCGGTCGTTCCCACAGATAACAAGGCCTCGGTCGTTCCCACAGATAACAAGGCCTCGGTCGTTCCCACAGATAACAAGGCCTCGGTCGTTCCCACAGATAACAAGGCCTCGGTCGTTCCCACAGATAACAAGGCCTCGGTCGTTCCCACAGATAACAAGGCCTCGGTCGTTCCCACAGATAACAAGGCCTCGGTCGTTCCCACAGATAACAAGGCCTCGGTCGTTCCCACAGAAAAGTGCAGCAAGTGTACTCAGTGGCCTAGCTAGCTACCAGTCAAAGACCGCCGTTTTGTTTTCAACCTGAGATCGCTTGTAAAAAAAAAATAAGCAGATTTTAGAGCCAGCGGTCACGTTGCTCTGACTGACACGTTGAAAACAATTGACTGAAGGAGTGAACAACAAGCATGGCATATCTGTGTGTGTCTGAGCCCTGTAAAGGTGGACCAAGACAACTCACAACAACTCTTAAAAGAGCCAATGCAGAGACCCTTACCTTCATCTTTTCTGTCTCTGCCGCATTTGCCAATTCATCCACCAGCTCGATGAGACCACCCACTATCTTCTGAAACTGGCCGATTTCTGTGTATTGAATGAATACACGAAAGTTAGTAAAACCCTAACGCGGTAATTAGGTGTCAACAGCGTTTGAAGAACACAAGTTTTAACATCGAGAAGAGATGTGAGTGGACCATCTTTACAAAACAATATTCTATGCAAGTTACAGAACCGAACCCCAACCGTCCATACCAAATTACACACTATTCCCTATTTAGTGCACTACATTTCCCCAGAGCCCACTATATAGGGAATATGGTGCCATTTGGGACACAGAACAGAAGATAATGGAATGTTCTTACTGTCAACAAAGTCTTTACACTCCTCCTTGAGCTCCGTGGTCTTCTGGCCCACCTCTGGTTCCAGCACCCGCAGCTTGTTGAGTTCATCAAAATGAAGACCAGCTTCGGCCAACGGGTCTTTCGCCATGGCCACAAGGCCTGTCCCAAGAGCTGGGTTATACAGTGGGGGAAAAAAGTATTTAGTCAGCCACCAATTGTGCAAGTTCTCCCACTTAAAAAGATGAGAGAGGCCTGTAATTTTCATCATAGGTACACGTCAACTATGACAGACAAAATGAGAAAAAAAATCCAGAAAATCACATTGTAGGATTTTTAATGAATTTATTTGCAAATTATGGTGGAAAATAAGTATTTGGTCAATAACAAAAGTTTCTCAATACTTTGTTATATACCCT